GCTGCGAGTGAGGGTTCTCACAGCTTTTGCACCAGAGTGCTGGGTTAGACTGTCTGGTTGTGGAGAAATGGCGTGGTCTGAACAGAATCATCTCCTTTGCTCCATTCCCCTGCTGCTGTTTCAGTCCCTGGAAAGAGGTCTGAATTGAGTCGCTGTGCACGTTGTGGACTCCCTGTGCGTTTTCCTCGGTCTGCTCTGTATGCTGATGCTCTGTGCATGTCTTAAGGACCATGTTGCCTTGGCTGGGGCTCTTCTTGAGCCTCTTTATTTCCACGGAAACACCTTCTGCTGATAAAAGTCAGTTTCTATTTTACACACACTGGAGAACAGGACGTCTGCAGTAAGTTCATGGCGAAGACACTGTCATTTAATTCCATTTGTCGGTGAACCTTTGGAAATAGCTTTGTGTATTGCTAATTAATACCTTTGATTCAGCAACGTGGGTGCTGTCAGAACATATAGATCCCAGGTTTACTTTTTGGTTGGTTTTACGGAGAAATACTTTTCTTGGGGCTTAACCTGAGAGAAATCTCAACTTCCCAGAACCCTGAAATACAAACTTTGAGCCCATGTAAAGAAGCCAACACATAGCCCATGTATTCTCTTTTTGTAATTAAAAGAAATTGATTTAGTTTTGTACACATTACTCTACCTTGATCTGTGGTTCTGCTCTGGTTGGTAGTGAGAAAATATCTTTAAATACAAATGAAAATTTTAAATTACTACTAATATATGACTATTATTTTATTAGCAGTATTATTACTAATTATGTACCATGTTTATTAATTAATAAAAATTTTCTTTTAAGGGAAGACATTTGTGGTGCTAAAGAAAAATGTGACACGTTAGGTAAGTTATTTTGCCAGTTAACTTTAGCTTATGTAATTGGTGACTGCATTATTTTAAAAAATGTTCAAATTAATTTCTCTTTATTTAATGTTTTGATTAGTTGTCTTGATACATTATTACCTATCACTATTATTTAATTCTACTTCTATAAAGTTTACAGAATAAAAAGTATGAAATTCTGCGACGTGTTTGATTAACTTACGGTGTTACCTAACATAACACTCAGCTCATGTTAAGTCACACTTAATAACCCACGTGTCCACGGAAAGCAAAGTAGTGAATCCATGGCCAGACACAGGCTTCAGAGTACTATTGTTACTAAGACAAGAGCTCTGTCCACCATCCGTCCCTGCTTGTCCCGGGAGGTAGCAGTAGCAAGTATATCATATTTGCCAGTTCCTTCTGTGTTTTGAGGAATGGTTCTATAACGAGTGTACGTGTTCCTGGAGAATCACTTGGTTTTGCTGCTTCTTGAGCGTTTGTAGCTGGAATGCATGCATTTTCACTGCTGTGGCGTACTGAATCGATAGCTTATATATCCAGATCTTATCAGAGAATAATTTGAGCTCATCTGACTTTTTTCATGATTTTTTTTTGTAGGAAGGTAAATTCCTAGGACTAGAATTGCTCTGCCAGTATGTATGTTATTACTCAACTTAATAAGAAATACCAAGCTATTTTTTAATGTGGTCGTACCAAATTACACCATTATCAGTGGACAACAAGCATTCCTTTTGATTGTGTTCTTGTCACAGTAGGACATCTTCAGATTTCTGATTTTTGTCAATCTAAATGTAATATATTATAGTCACTTATTTCCATGATTTCTAATGAGAAATCATATTTACTGGCCGTTGGTTTTCCTTCTCTGTAAGGAATGAAATAAAATTTCCCATTTTTTCTGTGGTGGTATTTGCTGTATTCTATTTTTTAAAAAATAAATTTATTTGGAAGTCAGAGTTACGGGGGGTGGGGAGGAGGAGAAGAGATATTCCATCCACTGGTTCACTTCCCAAATGTCACAGCAACTGGAGCTGGGCCAGGCCAAAGCCAGGAGCTTCTTCTGGGTCTGCTACGCGGGTGCAGGGGCCCTGGCACTTAAGCCATCTTCTGCGGCTTTCCCAGGCACAGTAGCAGGAAGCTAGATTGGAAGTGGAGCAGCTGGGACATGAATTGGTGTTCATGTGGAATGCCAGCTCCAAGCAGTGGCTTTGGCTTTACCCTCAACACCATGGCACTGGCTCCGTTAATATTTTTTTAAGAGTAATTTATTTATTTGGAAGTAGGAGTTAGAGAGAGAGAGAGAGAGAGAGAGCGCGACAGACAGATGACAGCTAGAGAGGTATCCATCTGCTGATTCATTTCCAAAAATGGCTGTAATGGCCAGGGCTGAGCCATGTTGAAGCCAGGAGCTCCATCCAAGTCTCCCATGAGGTTGACAGGGGCCCAAACACTTGGGCCATCCTCTGCTGCCTTTCCCAGGCCGTTAGCAGGGAGCTGGATCAGAAGTAGAGCAGCTGGGACATGAACTGGCACCCATAGGGGATGCTGGCTTTGCAGATGGCAGCTTAACGCACTGTGCCACCACACTGGCCCCTGTTGTAAATATTTCAAAATTCGTCCTTCCATATTTGACTCTGTAACCCAGTGACTACAGAATGCACACTGTTCTCATGAGCACATGGAACATTTTCTAGGGTAGATCTTGTATTGGGCCTCAAGTCAAATCTCAGTAGATTTAAAAAAGATTGAATGTATCTTCAATGATGTGTCTTCTCAGACCACAAAAGATTAACTCTAGAAATCAGTAACAAGAAGTGCAACAGAACATTTACAGGTACATGGACATTAAACAACATGCTACTGCATGACCAGTGGGCCATTGAAGAAATTAAAAAGGGACAATTTTTTTGATACGATGTCAGATACTTATTTGGTTTTGTTACTTTCTTCTCTAACTGCAAAACCAGATTCCCCAAACTGTACCTTGAATATGTCCTCCTTTTCCTTGAAATCTCAATATCATGTATGAAATCTCTGTATGAACCTGGATGTGTGTAACATCCATCCATTCCATGCCCATGTCTTATTCATTCACATGCCAATTCTGCACTATTTTCACTTCAGACTTCTGTAATCTTAATAACTGATGGGCTGTGTATCTCCGCTTAATGTTCCTAAAAGATCTGTCCATTTAAGTGGACTTTTTAAGTGTCTTGGCAAAATATGTATTATTTTCTTTCAGAGTTGAATACTTGAAAATTTATTATGTCTGTTGATAGCAGGGTGACCTCAACTTTCTCTTGTTGCTTAGTTGCTGGATATGTCACTACCTCCAGTTTTCCTGTGCCCTCATATGTTAGTTTTTTCCTTGAAAAAAGCATATAATTGGATTCTTAAAATATGAAATACAGTATTCTTTATTGTTCAACTGGCAAAGTCTACTTACTACAGTTATTGTAATTAACGTTGTATGCTGCCTTATGTGATCTACATTTGTTAGTTGTTGTCGGTCATTATGTTTATAACTTCTGTGGGATTTTTTTAGGGTCCACAAGCAAGTGTAGTCATGTGGTATTTGTCTGGAGCTTATTTTGCCCAACACAGTGACTTGTAGTTCCGTCCATGATGTTGAGAATGACATGAGTTCGTATTCTTATGTCTGATCCGTACTACATCCTGTATTTGTGCCATACGTTCTTTATCTGTTCATTGGTGCATGAGCACTACAGTTGCTGTTGTTTCCTAGCTTTTGTGGATTTCATCTCTTGGATATATACCCAGGAGAGGGACTGCTGGACTGTAGGGTAGTTCTGTTCCTTGTTTCTGGAGGAAGGTCTGTACTGTTTTCCACAATGGCTGCACTATTCTGCCTTCCCGTCGACAGTGTGCAAGGGTTCCCTTTTCAGCACATCTTGACCAACACTTACTATCTTTTGTCTTTTTGTTAATAGCCTATCTTCTGGAGCCAGGTGCTGTTTCATCGTGGTTTTGATTTGCATATTCCCCTGATGATTAGTGATACTGAGCATTTCTTTAAATGTTGGCCCTTGTATCACTTCTGAGAAATGTCTGTTTAGGTCCACTGCTGCATCTTTTACTTGGATTATTTGGGATTTAATGCTGTTGAATTGTTTGAGGACTTTATATAGTCTGGATACTAACCTCTTGTCAGACGTAGAGCTTACAAGCGTCTTCTACCATTGTGCCTTTGTTGATTGTTTCTTTTGCTGAGTTTACAAGCTCTTTAGTTTGATGAAATTTCGTGTCTGTTTGCTTTTATTTTCTGGGCTTTTGCAGTGTGGTACAGAAAATACTTGCCCATTATAATGTCCTGAAGTGTTTTTGTTGTGCTTTCTTCTAATAATTTCAAAGTTTGAGGTCTCACACTTGGGTCTTTTTTTTTTTTTAAGATTTTTATTTATTTATTTATTTCAAAGAGTTACAGAGAGAGAGGAGAGGTAGAGAGAGAGAGATCTTCCATCCGCTGGTTTACTCCCCAATTGGCTGCAGCGGCTGGAGCTGTGCCAGTCCGGAGCCAGGAGCTTCTTCCAGGTCTCACACGTGGGTGCAGGGCCCAAGCACTTGGCCATCCTCCACTGCTTTCCCAGGCCATAGCAGAGAGCTGGATCAGGAATGGAGCAGCTGGGACTTGAACCGGTGCCCATATGGGATGCCGGCACCCCAGGTGGCGGCTTTACCTGCTGTGCCACAGCGCCAGTCCCTCACACTGGGGTCTTTAATCCATTTTGAGTTGGTTATTTTGCATTGTAAGAGGTAGGGATCTAGTTTTATGCTTCCGTGTATGCATATCCAGTTTTCCCAGCAATAGTTACTAAAAAGACCATCCTTTTTCCAATGCATGCTCTTAGCATCTTTGTCAAAAATCATTTGGCTGTAGATGCATGGGTGCACTTCTGGAATCTCTCTTTTGTTCTAATGGTTGTGGATCTGTTGGGTTTTTTTTTAAGATTTTATTTTTATTTATTTGAGAGGTAGAGTTACAGACTGAGAGTGGGAGAGACAGAGAGAGATCTTGCATCCACTGGGTCACTCCCCAAAGGGCCACAACGGCCAGAGCTGGGCCGATCCAAAGCCAGTAACAAGGAGCTGCTTCTTGGTCTCCCAAGCACGTTCAGGGGCCCAAGGGCTTGGGCCATCCTCCACTGCTTTCTCAGGCCATAGCAGAGAGCTGGATCAGAAGAGGAGCTGCTGGGACAGGAACCGTGACCATACGGAGTGCAGGCAGAGGCTTAGCCTGCTACACTACCCTGCTGGCCCCTGTGGGTCTGTTTTTATGCCAATACCATGCTGGTTTTTTGTTTGTTTGTTTTGTTTTGTTTTTGTTAATTTTTTTGTTTGTTTTTTTGACAGGCAGAGTAGACAGTGAGAGAGACAGAGAGAAAGGTCTTCCTTTGCCGTTGGTTCACCCTCCAATGGCCGCTGTGGCCGGCACACCGCGCTGATCCGATGGCAGGAGCCAGGTGCTTCTCCTGGTCTCCCATGGGGTGCAGGGCCCAAGGACTTGGGCCATCCTCCACTGCACTCCCTGGCCACAGCAGAGAGCTGGCCTGGAAGAGGGGCAACCGGGACAGAATCCGGCGCCCCTACCAGGACTAGAACCCGGTGTGCAGGCGCCGCAAGGCGGAGGATTAGCCTAGTGAGCCGCGGTGCTGGCCACCATGCTGTTTTAATCACTGCAGCTCTGCATTATATCTTAAATGCAGATAGTATGGTGCCTGCTGCTTTTTTCTTTTTGCTCAAGATCATTTTGGCTATTCATGATCTTTTATGGTCCCATACAAAGCTAAGCTGTGTTCTTTCTAGTTCTAGAACATGTCTGGGATTTTGTTAGGGATTGAATGGAATCTATGAATTGCTTTAGGTGGTATGTACATTTCAATGATACTGATTTCTCCAGTCCAGGAACACATTAATATCTAAGGTAATTACTGATGGGTAGCATCCTACTATTGCCATTTGGATCGTTGTTTTGTATTTTTATTGTAATTACTTTCTTTGTTTCTAAATTGCAGTCTTTGTTGTTTCTGTTAAATGATTTTTTTCTTGGGGTGTACTTTGACTCCTTGCTTATTATGTTTTGATAATTCTGTATATAGGTTTTGTGTTGTTAAGGCTTAGAAAAAGTTTCTTTTGGTTACAACAATCTATCTTGCTAAAAAAAAAAGCTTAATGTTGATTTTAAAGATATGGAAAGAGACAAAAACAAAGAGGTAAATCTTAATAAATGCCTCTAAATTGGTGCTGCATTCATCCCTGGTGTTGAGTTTTTGATATTATGCTTGGCCTCTTTTAATGTTTCAATTCAGTAGTTACAAGTTGGGGAGATTCACAATAAATATAAATGCTTTATACACAATGTCTAAAGTAATAGAGCATTCTGAAATTTTTTAAAGCTACTCTTACCAGGAGTTTTCTACCTTTTGATATGTTCTTCTTGTTAGTATTTCTTGAAGCTTGAAGAACTAGCTCCCTTTAGCACTATTTGTAAGACAGATCTAGTGGTGATGAAGTCTCTGAACTTTGGTTTGGGACTGTCTGTATCTTTCCTATCATCTGAAGCATAGTTTTTCTGGAGACAGTATTCTTGGCTGGAGTTGTTCTGCCTTCCATATCATGAAAGTCTCTTCCCCTTCTCTCCTGGCCTGAAAGGTTTCTGCTGGGGAGTGTGCGGTCAGGCGGATGGGGAGCCCTTGCTGTGTTTTACTTCTTTTCTCTTGTAGCTGTGAGAGTCCTGTTCTCATCTCTAATCCTGAGGAGCTTGACTATGTCTTGGGGTAGCCATGAATGTCAGGTTGAATCAGACTGATGACCTTTGGCCTTCTTGCACCTGATGGCTGTATCTTTCTTCAGGTTTGGGAAAATTTTTGTCAGTATCTGTGAATATGCTTTCTACTCCTTTGGTTGCTCTAGTTCTTCTTAAATCCCAGTAAGTCAACTATTTGCTTTTTTCACACTATTCCATATTTTTCATAACTGTTCCTCATTCCTCTTGGTTTTCTTTTTTCTCCTCCAACTGTGTGTTTTCAAATAGCCTGTCTTCCAGGTGTCTGATTCTTTCCTCTGTTTGATCTGTTCTGCAATTGATGCCGCCTTTTACATTTTTAATTTCACTTTGGTGTACTTTTGACTTGAAGAATTGCTCCTTGATTTTGTCATTTCCATCTCTCTCTCAAATATGTTAGAATCTTGAATCTTTTCTCAATATTCTCTTAAGTTGAATTGAGTTTCCTTAAAATAGGTATTTTGAAATATTCATTTGAGCGTTTAGAAGTTTCATTTCCTAGGAGGTTGGTTTTGGGCACGTTAATTTGTTCTTTGCTGATGCTTGTTAGTTTCTTAACTGCCACACTTATCTGGTCCCTAGAATGTATACATGTATCTAAGCGTGAAGCACAAAGTGTGGGAGATAATCAGATGTCTGCACAGCCCTGAAACTGAGTAGATTGGAAGGGAGCATCTGGTGCTGCCCTCATACTATCTTTGAGGCACTGTTTACTAATGTATTCTTTTTCTTGTTTAGTTTTTGGTCTTGCTTTAAACTAAGAAAAAGTCACTGAGGGTAGGAGGGACTTTGCCCAAACAAGGCCTTTTGGTAATGAGGTCAGAAAGAGGACACATCTTTGCTTTTTTGCTGAAAAGTATCAGTTAATGAACTTGTTTATCTTTGGCTTTTTTTCAGCCTTTTAAAACTTTATTGATTTAATTTCCATTTCTGTTAACACACAACGAAAGCATTCTAATTATTATGAAGTTTACCTTAAATGCTATGAAGATGTCCATATTTTTAACTTTTAAGAATAAAAGAATTACCACTTAGAGGTGAGAGCTGTAACAGTAGCTAATGCAAATGTTTTTTATTTTATATGAAGAAATTTTTAAAACTTTAAGAAATTATTATCTTAGGTATGAAAAACTTTCGTGAAAGGAATTGTCATAGGAGAGCAGACCAGTTGACAACTAAATATTACAGGATATTGGTGGTAAAACCATGGTATTGTGTTCAATTCAAAAAATAATAAATAAAAAGCTACCTTGCCTGATGATGGAGCATGGATTTTTGTAATGAACGTTTATTTCGAATTTCCTGCTCTGTGGTATTTTTCGAGGACTATTAACTGACTATTGCTGTCTTTAGTATCCAGCCAGCTCAGATTGTTGTCGTCTTTCAACTGCACATTTGAGTTGCTTGTTATTCTTTATAGTAGAGTGACTACATCTTGATAGTGCATTTCCTGTTGCTGAAAGAGTTGCAGAATTACTGAGTGCTTAAAGTAATTCTTATCGCTGGGTCTCATTTTATTCAACATAGATTAAATGCCAAGTACTGTTCTCAGCACTGAACATGTTTTTACTCATTTAATTATGTGATAACTCTGTGTGTGTGTGTGTGTGTGTGTGTATAATGTGATCTTAGATGTTAGAAAATTAAGTCTCATAGATATTTTTGGAGTTGTGTGCTATTTTCTGCTCTCATTAGTTATTGTATTGCCAGTTAACCCATTCAGTGCCTTTGTTACTCCCACACTGATGTGCCTACATCCTTCAACCTACATGGAATGACTATTCTTTACGTATATTTAAAAACATTGTTTGTTCACCCATTTTTGGAATTATTTTCTTGAGTAATCTAAGAGTTTTCTAAAAGGATTTCTTTTTTTAAAAAAAGATTGATTTATTTATTTATTTGAAAGACACAGTTACAGAGAAGTAGAGGCAGAGACAGAAAGGTCTTCCATCTGTTGTTTCACTCCCCAAGTGGCTGCAGTCGCCGGGGCTGCGCTGAGCCGAAGCCAGGAGCCAGGAGCTTCTTCTGGGTCTCCTGTGCAGATGTGGGGGCCCAAGGACTTGGGTCGTCTTCTGCTTTCCCAGGCCATAGCAGAGAGCTGGATTGGAGGAGGAGCTGCCAGGACTCAAACTGGCACCCACGTGGGATGCTGGCATTGCAGGCTTTTTACAGCTGGCATTTACCCACTGTACACAGCACTGGCCACTACAAAGATTTTTTTTAGACTTTGATTTCATAAGTTTTAAATTTATAAAACAAAAAATAGTGAAGAAGTATGAAATTCCCATATACTCTACACTCCACTTCCTCTTTGGTTAGCACCTGATATTATTGTGATACTTTGTCACAGTCTGTAAGCTGTGGGCACATGCTGGCTTCCCCTGTTAACAGCATTGCATGTTAGTGTATCTGTAACGATCAGTGACCTATACCCAGCTTCCCCTGTTTTTGTTTTTTAATCCAAGCTCCCTCTAACCTTCCTTCCTCTCCCAACCTTTAGCAATCAACATTATTTGGTCTAGTTCAGTTTTTTTCTCTTTAAGCTTTTATAAGACAAAATGTTCAATACCTATATTCATTCAGTATTAACAGCCAGCTCTGTTTATTTCTAGGTGGTAATGCCAATGAATACTTTAAAATTCAGTTCTTAGTTTACGAGTTAAATGCTGTTTCCAGTTTGGTTATATGCAAATATGAAATTTTTCAGGCCTAGCAGAATTAGGGACCCTGTGTGATCCTTCCCGGAGCTGCTCTATCAGTGAAGAGAATGGACTGAGTGCTGCCTTTACCATTGCGCACGAGCTGGGCCATGTGTGAGTACCTCTGTCCTGCGGGGATGCGCTGGGCCGTGTGTGAGTATCTGTCCCGCAGGGATGCACTGGGCCGTGTGTGAGTGTCTGTCCCGCGGGGATGCACTGGGCCGTGTGGGAGTATCCTGTCCCGCGGGGATGTGCCTTCTGCTCACTGCACAGAGCTCCTGAAGATCCACCTCTGGTTGAGTTGCTCGTACCTGTGTTTCTTCAAAAAGTCATCACTGTAACTGCTCCCTGATATGCTGACTCAGGCTGTTTTAGAGCTGTGTTAGGTCTCTCAGGGTGTCTAGATCAGCAGACCAAGCCAAAGAAACAGAACCTGGGAATTGTTTGGTTTACAGTAGTGGTGTCCCTGACAGGCACTGATGGCCTCCATCCCTTGTCCTATGCACGACCCAGTCTCTATCCTCACAGTGGCCTCTCTGGTCATCCCGTGCATGGCTGCGGGTCTGTGGTAGCCTGTAAATGACCCTGTCCCTTGTTCTATGCACGACCCCGTCTCCATCCTCACAGTGGCCTCTCTGGTCATCCCGTGCATGGCTGCGGGTCTGTGGTAGCCTGTAAACGACCCTGTCTCTTGTTCTGCACGTGGCCTCTACTTGTTCCTGTGCTGTGTGTCACTTCTGTTCTACATGTTCTCTACCCCTTTATTCCTTTATCCTCTTCATGACCACTATCTCTTGGTTTCCAGTGTGACCCCCAACACTCACTGTCCTTCACTTGACCCCTGTCCCCTGTTTTCCTGCACATGTCCTGCAGCCCTTGCTGTCCTCTGCGTGGCCCTGTCATCTGTCGTAGGCTGCACAAGTCCAGCTCTCATCCTCTCTCAGCTGTGGAAGGGCCTGCTGGGTGCCTGCCTGTGGACATCTCCCGGTCTCTGTGAAAACCAATTTGTCTCTGATCTTGCAGCTCAGAGCCCCAGCAGAGGGTGTTTTTGGCCAGGGGAAGTTCTTACTCATTAAAACATATGTCTCTGTTTTAAGAATTCTCTTCTCTAATTTTTTTTTTAATTTGTCATTTATTTATTTGAGAGGCAGAGTTACAGAGATAACAGAGGGAAAGACAGACAGAAGGGTCTTCTGTCGTCTGGTTCACTCCCCAAGTGACCTCACTGGCCAGAGCTGGGCCCATCTGAAGCTAGGAGCCAGGAGCTTCTTCCCAGTCTCTGGTGCAGGGGCAGGGGCCCAAGCACTTGGGCCATCTTCTGCTCTCCCAGGCCATAGCAGAGAGCTGGCTGGGAATAGAAGCAGCCGGGACACCAATTGGAGCCCAGCTATATGGGATACCAGCATTGCAGGTGGAGGCTTAGCCCACTACATCACAGCACTGGCCCTGTTTTGTTTTGTTTTGTTTTGTTTTGTTTTGTTTTGTTTTGTTAAGTGGTTCCTTTATCAACCCCTGTATTACTAAAACTGCCGTGGGCTTCTACGAATGGGGACTGCCCAGGGACCGTTAGAAACCCCTCTGAGAAGTTGTTCCCACCGTGCCCCAGGATTCGGGGTCTCTCTGTGACTGCTGACACAAATCGAGGCTGATTTCTCCCTTGTCAGGTCCACGCCATTGCTTTGCCTGTCTTGCTGTGAGACATCAGTAGGGCATCTCAGGGGCATGGCTTTGTGGGGAGGTCTTGCAGTGAGCTGGTGTCTCTTCAGAGCCCTTGAGCTTGGCTCCATCTCACGGTCAGCAGCAGCCCGCACGCTCAGTTTTACTTCTTGGAAGCCGGTTGCTCCTAAACATGAACGTTGTCAGCACCTTGGGAAGCAGTCGAGAGTACAGATTCCGCCGTAACGTGACCCATCTGTGTTTTACATCCTAAAACAGACATAGGCATTGGTGACACTCGGTGTGCACTCTGGATATCCTTTGTTAAGGGTTTGTTTCCACTTTCAGGTTTAATGCTCCCCATGACGACAGCTTCAAGTGTAAAGAAGTTGGAATTAAACATCCGTATCATGTGATGGCCCCAACTTTAAATTACGAAACAGTTCCCTGGACCTGGTCAAAATGTAGTCAGAAATACATCACGGAATTCCTCGAGTAAGTCCGAATGGATGTCCCTTTTGTCACATTGTTGAACATCTAGATTGCAGATTTGATGTTTGTATGTTTTTCAGGGTGGTTCAACTTCTGCTTAATTTGCCATTGTTTAGATTGAAGCTTATTTTCACTTTACAAGTGGGTGTTTAGAAAGGAGGAAAAGCATTGTTATTGCAGCTGAGAGCCAACTATCGTTTTTTTATTTGGACCCTTTCTTGTGATAAGAACTTGTTTGGGTGAAGACTTAATGGCAGTCACAGCTACCTTGCGTGTCTGAATTTGCGTGACCTCTGAATGAAGTCACCAGGTCCTATTCTGAGAGGGGTTAGAGGTGGCCTGGAGGGACAGGGGGTGGCTGCAGCCAAATTCCGAGTCACCCACATGGCTTCTAGAGCCACACGGATGTGGAGTCTGGCTTGGCTCATCTTTGGGGGGCTCCCCTGGCTCTGAGAGAGGAGACAAGGCATGTTTCTTTGTGTCCCAAATGCATTTATCCAGCTGCAGTTTACTGTAGTCACAGAAACTCCCAGAAGGCCAGCCCAGGAAATCATTTAGTGTAGATGGAAAAAAGTGCTTCCTTTCTTCTGTGTATTTCAGTCACTGAGTTAGCAGCATCAGTAGTTCATAGTTATCTCCCTCTCTCTTCATGAGATCCTTGGTAATAATTAAGTTATGCTTTGGGATACATGTGCATAAGTTTATCCTGCAGGTATGACTAGCAGGCAGGATTTATTCTCACTTAGGAACTTGATTAAAACACACAGCATACAGTTACTGATCTGTGCGTGACTCACTTAGCTTTGTTCAGCAGCTAACTGGTGCATTGATCGTAAATACCAGTGAGTGTGCTTTTTATATGTGTGAGGGAATAATACTCTGCTTCTATTCGTTGGAAATTTTAGAAGTTAAGTGTGCATTTCATTGGAAAATCAGTACGTCTTCGGCAGCAGAGATTTCCAGCCTCTAGAATAACTGCTTTTAATTGCTGCAGAGGAACAGAAGATCATTAGTGCTCGGTGGGGACACTGGACGTCCTCAGGGTTGTCTGTCGGCGGGACGTTGCATGACAGACGAGGCCCGTGCCTGTACCACTCTCGAAGTCGCTTAGGTTATCGTGTATTCTGATAGAAAGTTGCAGGACAGACATTACCACACTGAGAGACGTGGGCTCAGGGAGAATAAAGAGCGTGTCCACAGCCGTGCTTCCTGGAAAGCAGGGGAACCACGCTTAAGCTCCCCCAAATCCAAACAGCTCTCAGCTCCGTGCGCGCTCCCTCCTAGAGGGGCCTGCACGAAGCTTTGTGAAATCCCGCTCTTGTTCAGAACTGGAAGCACACCTTCTCAGAAGTCTTGGAAATGCATGGGTATTTTGAAAGCATTTTGACAGATGGGACATCATGTTGCAGGCGTAGACTTGAAGTGTGCTAGGCGCACGTGCTTGGTAAATCGCGTTCCCGTGAGTGCACGTTTCTGAGTCAGGATGCTCTTTTGTTTGGTTGCCACTTTGAGTTCAGTTGGGATGGAGCACACGTACAGCTCCGCGTCCTCGGTCAGCCACGGCTGTCACTGCACACGGGGACTTGCCGTGCTGCTGCTGGTCTGAGCTGGTTGTTAAGTTAGGAGGAAATGCTCGTTTGTGAAGTCAGAACCGCAGCAAGTGTGAGGAAGAGGCTGCATGGCCGGGCATCCCTGGAAATTCACATTTTGTCTTCTGTCCTGGGCCCAGCACTGGCCACGGCGAGTGCGTTCTGGACAAACCGAATGGAAGGACCTATGAGCTGTTTTCGGAACTTCCTGGACTCCTGTACGATGTGAACAAGCAGTGTGAACTCATGTTTGGTCCTGGCTCACAAGTGTGTCCCTACATGGTAAGAAAAGTGCCTGCCGTGCAGCTGATGTTAGGACGGATTTCCAAATGTACGTTTGTCCTCTAGAACAGAAGGAGAGCAGGAACAGTGTTCCGTCTTTCAGAACTCTGGTGTTTGCAGTAAGGGGTTAACCAAAGGGAAATGCAAGCTTAGTGCTTCCTGTGTGTCGGGTGCGTGGGGCCCTGTTGGCTCCGATACGTTCCCGTGAAGAGTTCTCCTGTGCGTCAGCCACAGCAAGGCTCTGGCATTTGAAGACTGAAAATATTCAGAGTGCGGGTTTTCAAACCACATTTGGGGCATGTGTCGAGAAAATGTAGTGTTTGATCCTGAGTTGTTCCAAAGGCCTCAGAAATCCACTAGAGTGTATTTTCTTTTATGTAGGTTTGGATCAAAAGGAACAACATTTAGGGCACTTTGCTTGGTTTTCTTTAATCTGTTACTTTATAATTTGGGACTTTTCTGTGGATTAGATATGTTTGATTTCCATTGCAGTAGCTGGTCCCAACACACACTGGGTCTGTCATTGTTGCGTTATTGGGGGGTAGATGTCGGGTTTGGGGTTGACCCAGTGCGCCCCTGCTCTGGTGACGCCGGCCTTGTTTTTCCAGACATGGTAGTTCTTTCCTGTTGTGCGTTCCTGCCTTGTGAGGCATGGGCCCTGCTGGGCACTCCCAAATGCATGTGTATCCCCGGGGCCCACTGGCCTGCCACACGGTGGGTACCCTCAGATACACATCTCCTGAACGTTGAGTGAATGAATTAAGTCACATTAACAGGGAGTGCAGAGACTTGCACGTGTGCGTCACGTGGTGGATATTGTTCCCAGAGCCTTAGGTTTGTCATCAGCCATTTTAATTTTAGCAAACCTTTAAACTCCACTGCCGGTGGGCGGAGGGGAACTTGACCTTACTACTTGATTCCAAGAGATACATTTCTTTCCAACCTGGTTTAGACACTAAAAACACTTTGAATTTAAATTCTGAAAAAGAACGGAATTCTCTTGGATATAGCTGCCGTGACCCTCTGGACTTCGGTTTCTTGTGAAAGCTTTGGAATTCTTTGTTCAGAAGTTGAAAGTATGCATTAGGTTCACAAAATAGGAGCTTCAGTGGGCTTTAAAATATTTCTGTGTGCATTATTCATACATTCTGCCACTGCATCAAAGGGGCCTTGAGGCACTCCCTGTGAATATTTAGCCATAAAATGTCTTTTAGAGAAATATCTTGTAAAGAGGAATAAAATTCTCACGTAAGTTTGAATATTTCCACTCTGACTCATTTCTCCCATTGTCCTGTGTATGGATAAAAATCTTTTAAAAATGTGAGTGTAGTGTTTTTAGGGGTCTAGAGGAGACTCAATGACAGAAACTTACTTAGGAAAGATGTTGGCCAACGGTCTCTAGCTGTTGCCATGAGAGCAGGGAGTGCATAGACCAACCTAGGAGCCAGTGTGGGAGGGGCCCTGGTGCAGGGGAGGTGTGGACCAACCTGGGAGCCAGCGTGGGAGGGGCCTGATGTGTGTGTGTGACTCTCACTCGTGCTCCCTGCCCGTTGCTTCTCTGCAGAAACAGTGCCGGCGGCTGTGGTGCACGGGCACAGAAGGCGTTCACAAGGGCTGCCGCACTCACCACATGCCGCTGGCAGACGGGACGGCCTGCGGCGCTGGCATGGTAGGTGTTCTCAGAGGGTGAGTCTCGTACCGAGAGGTGTGCCGGCATGTGACCGCTCTGCATCTCTGCGTCCTGTGCCTTCTGCCGTCACGTTTGTTGGATGCAGTACATTGTCAACCGCACGTGACTATTAAACTTACACGTAATTATATAAACAGTTACACAGATACAGATGTACTTTGAGTATATCACAGACTGGTTATTAAAATTGAGTACTGACATCATAACCCTAACAGTTCAGCAAGTCTCCCCAGATCCAAGGGTGCTTCCCGACAAAATTTGGCTGAGTATAACAAAGTTCTACGTGGCTTCTTCAGATGTGTATAGATTGTCATTGATGGAGAATCCATTCTAGCCCTGGAGTAGCCCGCCTGCCGTAGCACGTCTTGACCTGCGAGCTTGTGTCAGTCAGACCCTGCGCTGTGCCGGGCAGAGCTCACTGTGCTGCCTGTGAAGCGGAGGCCAGGTGGCGTCTGCTGAGCTCCCGTCTGCACCTCCCCCGGGCTCCCCAGTGCAAGGGGCAGCTTCCTTAGCAGTGGGCTGGCGCAGGCCACGTGGTCACGGCTCAGTGTAGACGCAGCTGAAACTGAACCCGTGCTGTTACCAACCGGTGCTTCCTCGTCTTCTCTCAGGTCACAGACGACTGGGCGGGGCCTCTGTTTGGAACCTGAGCGGTTTCTGGCATGGCCAGCGTGTCCACTGCTCGCTCACCTCTTGGGGATTTCATGCTCACAGTCCTCATGGGCCTTTTCAGTTCAGCAAGCAGTAAATTTCAAAATTTGAGCGTTCATTTGAAGTGATTTGGTGGATAAGGATTTTTTTTTTTTTTTTTTTTTGACAGAGTGGACAGAGAGAGAGAGACAGAGAGAAAGGTCTTCCTTTGCCGTTGGTTCACCCTCCAATGGCCGCCGCGGCCAGCGTGCTGCGGCCGGCACACCACGCTGATCCGATGGCAGGAGCCAGGTGCTTCTCCTGGTCTCCCTTGGGGTGCAGGGCCCAAGCAGCTGGGCCATCCTCCACTGCAGTCCCTGGCCACAGCAGAGAGCTGGCCTGGAAGAGGGGCAACCAGGACAGAATCCAGTGACCCGACCAGGACTAGAACCCGGTGTGCCGGCACCGCAAGGCGGAGGATTAGCCTATTGAGCCGCAGCGCTGGCCAAGAATTGTTAAAAGTACATTGCCAGGCCGGCGCCATGGCTCACTCGGTTAATCCTCCACCTGCGGCACCGGCATCCCATATGGATGCCGGGTTCTAGTCCCAGTTGCTCCTCTTCCAGTCCAGCTCTCTGCTGTGGCCCGGGAGAGCAGTGGAGGATGGCCCAGGTACTTGGGCCCTGCACCCACATGGGAGCCCAGGAGGAAACACTTGGCTCCTGGCTTCGGATCAGCATAGCGCTGGCCGTAATGGCCATTTGAGGGGTGAACCAATGGAAGGAGGACCTTTCTTTGTGTCTCTCTCTTTCATTGTCTATAACTCTGCCTGTCAAATAAATAAATAAAAATATTAAAAAAAAACCACATTGCCCTTGTTTCCCTCAATTCCTGGGAGCAGTGTTAGTAGCCAGCTTTCTGCGGCCAGGCACCTGGGAGTCAGTGAGCACCTGCCAAGAGCCAGGAAGCAGCTGTCTGGACGTGCTGGGCTGACGAACTGTGCTTGAGAGGGTCACCTGATCCCAGCCTGAGCCTCAAGATCTGCAGCCAGAGTAGTGATTGTTGTGTTTACAAATACCAAAAAACAAAAACAAAAACAAAAAAAAAAGAAAATCCCGTTTGTAGCCAGCTTTCTGAGTGGCCTAAGTCAGCTCACGTGTAAGCATGATTTTTGCTTTTGAAACGGAGGTGTGTGGTGCAGGGCGGAGATCTTTTGGGTATAGGCAGCCCAAGCAGCATCAAAGCATTTCTGTCCATCTGAAGCCTTCGGTGCTGTCTGCTTCCAGACAGTTCCCTCCCCTCTGCTCTCAGCTCTGTTCCTGTTTCTGTCTGCCTTGACTCTGTGTCTTGATCTTTGGGCATGGAATGGTGCAGTGCACCCCCTTGTTGGGATGAATCAGACTTCTTTGGGTCAACGCCAGCTGTTTGAGCTGCGTCCACACTGCTGAGTGCTTCGGCCCCGCGTTCATCCTGCGGTGCAGTCGCTGTGCAGGTGTAGCGGAGTTTGCATATCCTTCTGTCACTGGACACTGGGGCCTCTCCTGGGTTTTGGCTATGATGGAGGAAGCAGCTGTGAGCACCGATATGCAGGTCTTCTTACAGGCCTGTGTGCGTGTTCTGGGGTCGACTTGCTGGGTCCTGGTGCAAGTGTTTAGTTTCACAAGAAACTGACAGGCGATTTCCCGAGTCTGTGCGCCCTTGTAGGCTGCCAGCAGCAGCTTGGGAAGGCTCCACTCGCTCTCAGGTCCTTGCCCACTTTGGGGATTGTTAGTTCTTTCAAAACATTTAAGCCACTTCAGTCAGAATAGAATGAATCTCATTGTGGTTTGAGCTTATATTTACCTGATTGATTTACTTGAGTGGCTTTTCATGTGCTAATTGGCCACTTGAATATTTCCCCATTGAGACTGTGTGGTCAGCCTGGATCCTTGGGGTTCAAGGTAAATGTGATGGAATTCTGAGACTATAAAGCCAGCGTGATGAAAAGCAGAGGTGTTGTTTGGAGCAGCAATGTGTGCATCAGGGTGAATGGAAAATTTTTTAAGATATTTATTTGAAAAGCAGAGTTACAGCCATACACACACACTCAAACACAAACATAGGAAGATCTTCCATCTACTGATTCACTTCCCAAATGGCTATGATGGCCAGGGCTGGTCCAAGTCAAATATAGGAGCCAGGAGCTTCGTCTGGGTCTCCCACATGGGTGCAGGGGCCCAAGCACTTGGGCCATCTTCTGCTTTCCCAGGTGCATTAGCAAGCAGCTGGGTCGGAAGTGGAGCAGCTGGGAATCAAAACAGCAGTTGTCTGAACCCCTCGCACCGCAATGCAGGCTTCCGAATTTTCTTTTTTAAATACAAGATTGTGAACTCCTGTAAATTAACTCTTTTCAGTATTAAATGGATCTTTTATTGAAGTAATAGCTTAAACAAGTATCGTATGATTTGCCTTAACACAAAATTATATCTCGTGACTATCTTAAAAGAGAGTCTCTTTGCTCAGTACTTTTAGTTGTAAATCGGTTTGTATGACATCGTGGTGAGCCCTTCTGAGTATCTGGGTATAGGTGCTACTGGGTTGGGCATAGGGGGTGATGGGAAATTGTGGGAACATTCTTCTCTAAGTTTCCTGTTATGTTTCTTACATGAAATAAAGAAACGAGGTCATCATTGGAGGCTCTAAAAGCATGAGAGAGTAACAAGATATCTTGCAGTTGAAAACTGGAAGCAGGGGCTGGCATTGCTTAAGCTGCCGCTTGCCGTGCCAGCATTCCACATCCACTTCTGATCTGGCTCTCTGCTAACCGGCCTGGGGAGGCAGCAGGTGATGGCCCAGGTGCTTGGGCTCCTGTTACCCATGTGAGAGACCCAGATGGGGTTTCTGCCTCCTGGCTTTGGCCTGGCCCAGCCCTGGCCATAGCAGCCATTTGGGAAGTGAACCAGCAGATGCAAGACCTCTTTGTCACTCTGCTTGTCAAAGAAACTTTTAGAAAACATAATTTTCCATTTTGCTGCTTAAATTTTCTTCTGTAAAATGGGACGGTCTTAAAGAAAAAGTATTTATGTTCTTGTTCCATTCTGCACATCTAACAGTTTCTCAGTAAACAGGCGATATCCATAGAGTGAGATCAAATATGATCACATTTTGGAATTCATATCCGTTTCCCTTAAATTGTTTATCGTCTGTTCTTCTGCTGGTTTATAAGCTTTTCTTACATTCGTGATGTTCTGGTTGAATACTCAAGAGTCATTTCTTTGTGCACTTGTTGTTTTTCTAGCATTGCTATCATGGCGTGTGTGTAAACAAAGAGATGGAGATGCGTCCCGTGGATGGTGACTGGGGCTCCTGGGGCCCCTACAGTTCTTGCTCAAGAACATGTGGAGGAGGCATCAGAATCACAACCAGGCTCTGTAATCGTCCCGAGTATGTCTTTTTATGTCACTGTAGATTAAGGTTATCTGTCCTGAGTATGTCTTTTTATGTCGTGGTAGGTTAAGGTTATCCGTCCCGAGTATGTCTTTATGTCGCTATAGGTTAAGGTTATCTGTCCCGAGTATGTCTTTTTTATGTCGCTGTAGGCTAAGGTTATCCGTCCCAAGTATGTCTTCTTATGTCGCTATAGGTTAAGGTTATCTGTCCCGAGTTTGTCTTCTTATGTCGCAGTAGGTTGAGGTTATCTCAAGGCACCTGAAAGTAACCAGCACTCTGTCATTCACTTCCAACCCTGAGATCAGTCTGTAGCTTCTGAGATGCGGAAAACTTCTGGACTATTTTAGGCTCTCTTACTACGTATCTCGGCAGAGTCAGGCCCAAACGGAAGAATACCAAAACCGTAAATGCATTAAACTTTATAAATATGAATTGAGACAGAACAATTATTTTGCTTTCTGATTTACTATAAATGAGCATTTTTTGCAAATATGAATGACAGTTGCATAGTGATATTTTCATGTTGACCGTGTTCCTAATCGAGGGATGCATCTCCTCTCACCTCTGTTTCTGCCCTCATGGATAGGATGCATGATTTCGTTATAATGTTTTTACTGTTCTGTGTAAATTGCCTTTGTCGTATTTTCTTCCTTTGCTTCTCGTCTTACAGAGACATCACTGTCTTTAGCTGAACAAATACTAAAGCACTATATACCCTCATCAAACTATTTAAAAGAACTTTTATAGATTGTTAAATAAATTTTATGTTCTATGTATTAGTTGCTAAGATTATATACTAATAGTGAAAAGACTGGAAGTCTCAGTAGCAAGTATTTTTAGTGTAGAAAAGTGATGTACTACTTTAAATAAAATCTCAGTTGATTTGAATTCTAGAATAGCTCCATTGTACTAGTACTTTCTGTATTGTAAAATTTCTGAAGAATTCCATTGTCTAGCAGAAATTGAAACCGAGATGGATAATAATTCATCGCATGAAATTCCTTGAGCTGAGTGACAAGGAGAGTAGATGTGAGCAAGATGCATATATAATTCCTTTTTATTTAACATGTTATCATCTTTGTCTGGCTACAGGTGGTCCTCCTGCCCCAGAAAAATGAGCAGACGCTCTTTTGGAGTTTTTAAAACACATCCCCATGCTTAGGTTCTTAATGCAGTTGGGAGTAAGATACCCCTCTGCCCTTGAGGCTTCAGTGTCCACCTGCGGTGTACACCTTTCTGGGGTACTAACCATAAGATGGCCGCGAAGCCCTCTTACACACTTCTGCTAGATGAAGCATGTGAGACAGCAGTGGTTGTGCAGATCAGATCCTGAAAGAGAATGAAGCAACTGTAGCAGTCCCTGTGGAGATTATATGGTACTGATGCACTTTACACCAATGAATTTGACTAGGCCAAGAAACGGAGGAAAGTACTGTGTGGGCCGCAAGATGAAATTTCGGTCATGTAACACTGATTCCTGTCCAAAAGGCAAGGAAGACTTCCGCGAGAAGCAGTGCTCTGATTTTGATGGTAAACATTTGAACATCAATGGCGTCCCCTCTAACGTGAGGTGGCTGCCCAAGTACAGTGGGAGTAAGTAACTTCTTTGGCCTGAAGGCTTTTGAGACTGCAAACTTGGGGCTTTCTCACGGCACACCAAGCCTTTGGCTTTGGCTGTTTCTGCAGTTGCCATGAAGGATCGCTGTAAGCTCTACTGCCGCGTCTCCGGGACCACCCGCTTCTACCAGCTCAAGGACAGGGTTACTGACGGCACTCCGTGCGGGGCTGACACCAGCGACATCTGTGTGCAAGGCACGTGTCGGGTAAGCCAACCCAGCTTCTGTGACACTTAAAGCAGCTTTCGGAACAGTGTTTTCCTTCTGTTTCTCCATCCAAATGTTGCTTGATGGCTTCCAGATACGCTCTTCTGAACGGGAAAGCAGGCTTGGATACAACGTCCTACAGGCAAACGGTCAGGACTTTCTGACGAGGGAATCTGCCCCACCATGAAGCACTGGGATCGTTTGCTGATTTTTTTTTTTTTTTTTTGGCCTGAAGTGCCCATAACCGAGAGAAGGATGAAGTCAGCTTTTTTATAGATAGGAAATGGGGGGTTGTCGAGTGCTTTGCTACATCAGACCGGACCTTTGTGCTGACATTGCCTTGTGTGTTACGCCCGTGGACCTACTCCTTCCCTCGCTCCTCTCTCCAGCTCTCTGTCTGCTGTTTTGTTTTGTTTTGTTTTTAAAAGATTTATCTGTTTATTTGGAAAGAGTTACAGAGAGAGAGAGAGAACTATCTTCCATCTACTGGTTCACTCTCCAGATGGCCATGGTGGCCAGCACTGGGCCAGGCCAGGAATTTGATCCAGATCTCCTTTGTAGGTGGCGTCTTGCACTGCTTTTCCCAGGCTGTTGACAGGGAGCTGGATTGGAAGTGGAGCAGCTGGGACACGAACCTGCACCCTTAGGGGAACCAGCGTTGCAAGCAGTGGTTTTTCCCGCTATGCTGCAACGCTGGCCTCAGCTCCTATTTTGAATGTCCATCCCTAAGAATTCATTGTATCTGGTCATATGATTGGATGTCAGACACTGTTCTGGTCACCAGGACAGAAGGACAGAACGGAGCTCCTGATTCCAGGATGGGAGATGGGAGTGTGAGCGATGGGAACGCGGTGCTTTGTGGCCGCCTGCGGGGTAACGTGAGGGAGTTCTAAGTGGTACAGAGAAGCCTTCATGGAGGCTTTGAGGTTTCTGTTAAGTGTCGCAGAGGAGTAGATTGTAGCGAGGTGAGGACTGGGGCGGGGTGGGCAGAGCTGGAGTGAGGGACTAGTGGGTGTGGTTATGCAGACTTCTTGAACTCCTGGGAGACCCAAAGAAGGATTTGAAGTAAAGGGAGAAATGGGCTCTTATTTGCCTATTAGAACCTTCAGAATGCCCTGCGCTAGAACAAGATGGGCCATTGAGCAGGATTCTGGAAAGAATGGGTGAGAAGCTGAATTAAAGCGTAAGCCTGAAAATCTTGAGAAGGGGTAGAAAGTTTGAGAGTTAGGAGAGTGGAATAATTTTAAGAACCCATTCCATTGATTAAATGAAACTTGGTAGGGTCAGTTTTATCTTCTGTCACCATGTATGTATACCAGTTACCTAGGTGAGTAAGGTGTTACAACCAAAGAGCCCATGAGACAGATGGTCAAAGACACTTAATACAATGTACCCACTGGGAATACCTCGCATACTCAAGCAGGGTTGCCAAGGTTACCAAGTGGCTTGAAAAATCAAGTTTTATTCACATTAACAGCCTAAAGTCACATGAAAATGAAAAAACATGATGCAGGTTTTCTGAACACACAGTTCATTTTGGAGGTACTGTCTTTGCGGGAAAAAGAATGCACGAGGCTTGGGGAGTTTTGTGATCACTGAATTTAGAAGACTGTTCTGAAGGAGTAGGAGCTACACAGGAGCTGCACTTGTATTTTCAAGTCCTTGCAACAAACCGTTTACTGTTCGTTCATTCAGTTTAATAAACATTGTGTTATGTTGAGGGGTAATTTTGGAGAAAGGAATTGTTTGTTTCAAATGTTTCTCTGAAACTGGATTTATTCCCAGAGTTTTTTTTTTTTTTTTTTCAAGATTTATTTATTTACTTGAAAGTCAGTTACACAGAGACAGAAGGAGAGGGGTAGAGAGAGAGAGGTCCTCCATCTACTGGTTCACTCCCCAGTTCACAATGGCTGGAGCTGTGCCAATCTGAAGCCAGGACCCAGGAGTTTCCTGCAGGTCCCCCATGTGGGGGCAGGGACCCAAGGACTTGGGCCATATTCTGCAGCTTTCCCAGCCATAGCAGAGAGCTGGATTGGAAGTGGAACAACCATGTCTTGAACTGACGCCATATGGGATGCCCACACTGCAGGTGGCAGCTTTACCTGCTATACCATAGCACCGGCCCCATTCCCAGAGTCTTAAGTCATGAGTTAAAAAAAAAATCCTGCAAGATAGCTTTTGGGAATATAGTGACATGTTACTTAAATCATACTTTAATCTCTTTGGATTATATTTCTTTAAAGAGTAGTTTTTGAATTATAGTGAGTATTTGTGTCACTATTAGTCTTATAATGAAGATTCTTGGGTTTTATTTCCAAGGATTTTAGATCAGAAAATCTGGGAACTTGTCTTTTTAAATGTCACTCTGTGTGATTTTGATTCAGGAAGCAGGTGGATGGCACTGTAAACAGTGCAGCTTCTTGGGCCATGTGAACAGATGTATAAAAATACTACTGTACACCAAGATCAGTAGCTATGCTAAAAAAAAATCCTGTTGTGTGGAGTCTCTTGTGAGTTGAAAGAATATTTTTGAAGAAAATATTGTTCAAAGCACCATGCTTATAATGTATCATTTTTATAATACTGAATGCAATCATTGTGTTTTGAAGCAAGCCGGCTGTGACCATGTGTTGAACTCCAAGACCAGGAGAGACAAGTGTGGCGTGTGTGGTGGGGACAGCTCTTCTTGCAAGACGATGTCCGGGGTTTTCAACAGTGCTCACTATGGTAAGCTCTGTGTGTGTGTCTCGGTCTCTCTCTGACTTAGTTTACCCATTCAGTCACTCTAGGTCTTTGCATTGGAGAATTTAATTCTGTGTATTGAGGGTCATTATTGATAAGTCTTATTACTGCCATTTTCTTTTATTGTAGTTCTTGGCCTTCTTTCTGCTTATTCTCTGAAATATGTTTATTTGAGATTTTTGTTTTGTTACCATGAAGCTTACAAAAAGTGTTCTGTTTATAAAAAGCTATTTTGACATGAAAGCATCTTAATATTGATTATAAAGATGGGAAAAGGAATAAATAAGTAATGAAAGATTCCAATAAAAAAACCTATGCTTGTACTCTATTCCTTCACACATGTTGTTTTTCGTATCCCATTTTATATATTTATGCATTGCCTGTCTCTACATAAAAATATGGTAATTGTGTTTAATTATTTAAGAGTTTAGTCTTCATACTGAACATATGAATGGTTTACACACCACATTTACAATACTGGATCGTGTGAGCTTATAGTTTTAGAGCGTTCTGTTTGTATAGTTACTTTTATCACTGATTTTTTTTAAAAAGATTTATTTATTGGAAAGACAGAGTTACAGAGAGACAGACAGACAGTCAGAAGGGTCTTCTGTCTGCTGCTTCACTCCCCATATGGCTGCAACAGCCAGAGCTGGACCAGACCAAAGCCAGAAGCCAGAAGCTTCTTCCAGGCCTCCCACTTTTGTGCCACCTTCCCCTGCTTACCCAGAAGCATTAAGAGAGCTGGATCGGAAGCAGAGCAGCCAGGACTCAAACTGGCACCCATGTGGGGTACGGGCATCGCAGGCAGCGGCTTTATCTGCTGTGCCACAGCACTGGCTCCTGTCATTGACTTTCTGCCTTCTGATGTCTCCTTACTCCCTAGCATCTTTGAGTTTGAAGAACTCCATTTAGCAATTTTGTAGCATGGGTTGGGTGGAGATAAACTCACTCTGCTTTTGTCTGATACCGTCTTCATCTGTCCTGTCATATCTAAAGGATAGCTTTCTGGAATGGTACTTGTGGTTAGCAGGGGTTTTTGTTGTTGTTTGCTTGTTTGTTTCCCTTTCCTCTTCCTGCTGTCTCCTGGCCTGTGGGGCTTCTCCCAAGAAATCTGAGGTCAGGCTAATAGGGATTATCATATGTCTTATGATTATCATATGTCTTGGTATAGAGTTGTATATTCTTCAGCTCAAGAACTTGAGTTTTTTTTTTTTTTTTTTTTTTTAATACTTTCCTTTCTCTGTTAAGACTCTCTGCTGGGTATTACACCATTTCTCTGTGTGTTCTTGAAGCTCATTGAGTCTCCTTAAAAACAACTATCTTGAATTCTTTATCTGAGAATTTGCACATGTCAGTTGCTGTTTGGCCAGTTTCTCCCCTATTTCTGTTCCTTAGATGAGCTCATGATGCTGGCTGGCATACGGTGTCATCTGTATTTTGGAAATTTTTCCCAGGCTTCATATCTGCTTTGTTTCTGGCTGTCATCTGAGAAATTCTAAGCATTCTGCTCTTTTTCTCTGAGTCTGTGGACACTTGTGCTGTTTCATCACTTAGCTGGTGCCTGAAGTTGAGATTTGCTGAGTCTCTTGTAGGTGCGTTGTTGCTGTCTGAGCACCAGAGGGTACCCCATCCCAGGTTTGTCCCAAATGTTCAGTCTTTGTGTCGTGCATATGGAACCGAGGAAGTCTCTGGAAAGGGGTGGTCCATCTGTGCCAGCCTCTTCCTTGGGCCTGGGTAGACCCAGGTGCCTTGTCCAGTCACTAGCCTGTGGTCAGGTACCGTAGAATCTGCCTGGCTTCTTGACTCACTGTGGAGGGAGCGGCCCTAGATTCCTGGTACAAAGTCTTGACGTCCACCTCCCTTTCGTTCCCCCAAGCAATTACTGTCCTTTGTGTTGTGCTTCCTGGGATTAGTGGAGGAGTGCGGGGGCAGTGTCATGGATGGCAGCACCGCAATGCTCCGTCCGTACCCAGAGCCCAAGCCTGCTGAGACCGGTGCGCTGAGGCTCCCACGGCCATGGGTTGCTTGCTGCCGAGGCAGGCTTGAGGCCTGAGGCTACTGCAGTGAGCTGCAGGTGATGCTGGTCAGGTTACAGTTCCAGTCAAATGGAGCGGGTTCAGAGACTGTGTGCAAGCATTGGCCTGGAGGCAGGACTGTGGGATTTGCAGATTGTTGGACTTTGCCAGCCTAGCGATGAGTTGTAAGACAAAGCAGTGTACCCACTTCCATGCCCTCCTTTCCAGTGACTCGAGACTTGCTTCTTGCTGTCTGCCCCAGACTGGGAGAGGGGGGTTTTCCCAGGTTGATACGAAGTGGGGTGCATCTGAGTTTTGCAGCCACAAAGCCCTGCACAGTCTGGGGGCTGTGCACCAGGCACCTGGGGAGATGGTGGTGACACAGGCCAACAGTCTCTTCTCAGGTCTCTGTCTGATGCTCGAGCAGATCCGGAGGTTCTGTGTGCAAGTCCAGTCTGAGGACATGGGCCTGGGAGCTCTGCTTGGTGCTGGGTCTCACCGTGACAAGACTGGCATTGAGCTTCAAGGCAAAACCCTGGGCTTGCTTTCTTTTTCTACTCCTCCGCGGTTGAAGTCTTCTTCCTTGCTTTCTCCCGAGGTCAGGGAAGGTGTGGTAGAGGCAGTTCCTCAGCCACCCAGGCTGACAGTAAGCCGGGGGACACCTGGGTCTCACAGTCACTGGGCCTTGTGCACACCAGGCCCGTGTGCAGGCAGTGATGCAGACTGAAATGAGTCCGTCCCTCTGGGGGTGTGGGGCTCTACCTGGTGCTCTTGCAGACCATCACTGACCTGGTATAGAGGCCTCCGGGCTTTCCCGAGGCTGAGTCTCACCACGGCAGGCCCAGCCCTGAACTTGAAGGTGGAAGTCCTGAGCTCACTTTCCTGCCCTGTTTCCCAGTGGCTGGCATCTTGCTGTGTTGTAGGAGGGTAGTAGAGTCAGTCCCTTATGTTGCTGGTTACCAGGATCTGGAGACCCTGGGGACAGGGCTTTGGGGCCCCACTGGGCATTGAGTTTCACTGTGGTGAGCTTGTCCTGGATTTCAGGACTGAGGTCTGGACTGAATTCCTCCTTCTGCCTCCAGGTGGTGGTGAGGCAGCACTCTCCACCGTGGTATTTGGAGCTGAGGAAGGGGTGGCACAGCTAACTCTTCCCGTCCTGTCTTTCTCAGTGGCTCTTGGTTTATTATTGTGTAACACTCAGTACTGTGGTCGCTTACTGGCTTCCTGGGGTCTTGTCCACGTGGCTTGGTGTCCGGGGAAGACGACTGGGAGGAGCACTTACTCAGCTGCTATCTTGTCCTGCTCCTAACCCTTCTCATTGCTGTAGTAGTGAAATATGCAGTGAAGGTGTGGCTGTACTGCTTTATCTACTGTGTACCATTCATCCAAAACGACTGCTAAAGAAATATTCCCTAAGTATAGAAAGGCAAGTGTTGGGGCTGGCATTGTGGTGTAGCGGGTAAAGCCCCTGCCTGCAGTGCTGGCATCCCATGCTGGCACCAGCTTGAGTCCTGGCTGCTCCATTTCTGGTCCAGGTTCTTGCTAATGACTTAGGAAAGCAGTGGAAGATGGCCCAAATGCTTGTGCCCCTGAACCCACATGGGAGACCCAGAAAAGCGCCTGGCTTCTGGCTTTAGTCTTGCCTAACCCTGGCTGTTAAAGCCATTTGGGAAGTGAACCAGCAGGTGGAAGATCTCTCTCTTTCTCTATATTTCTTTCAAATAAATAAAATAAACCTAATGCAAAGTAAGTATTCTACCACAAGTAGCTTTGAATTCATGAAATCACCTTTCCAAGATAAATCTGATCCTTAAAAACACATTAGGGGGCCCGATGCTGTGGCATAGCAGGTAAAGCCGCCACATGGGGTGCCAGCATCCCATATGGGCACCAGTTCGAGTCCCGGCTGGTTCACTTCCGATCCCGCCCTCCGCTGTGGCCTGGGAAAGCAGTGGGGGATGGCCCAAGTCCTTGGGCCCCTTCACCTGCGTGAGAGACCTGGAAGAAGCTCCTGGCTCCTGGTTTCGGATCAGTGCAGGTCCGGCCTTTGCGGCCATCTGGGGAGTGAACCAGCAGATGGAAGACCTCTCTCTCTCTGTCTCTCCCTTTCTCTAACTCTGCCTTTCAAATAAATAAAAGCAGATCTTAAATGTGCCCAGTGTTTTTTGTTTGGTTGGTTGGTTTTGTTTTGTTTTCTGAGTCCACGGCTTTTTGACCGTAGTGTGTGAACAGTTCTTGGTTAAGGAAGTTCTTCCACTGGTTTTTCTGTGGTCTAACGTGTATATTTATCACGTTTCCCAGGAAACCTGCTGTCCATTATTTTCATCACATCATATGGCTTTACCCACTACACTACAGCACTGGCCCCCATCTGAAAGTTTTCTAGGCATTTTTTCTTTTTGTAGTAAAAGAAGATGCCCTTAAATCCTTTCCTGCAAGTGAAAATGCATTATTAAAGCCTTGTTGCACACATTAAATGGTGTTTACGGTTGTTGGAAGAATTGAGCTAGTGTAAGTGACTTCAATTAAAGCAGTATACTTCTAACCCACAGTCAACACTCTGAGCACACAGATGTGTCCTGTGCTTCACGCTCTGACATACTCCTTCTCCAGCTGGTCATTGTTTCCTGGGAGCCACACACATGTCCTGCACTGTCCTACATACTTTGGTCATAGTTCACACTGAAAGCTACTTGTTTTCAGGATAAAGCAACATATACAAAATTAGGATCAAACACTTAACCTCACAAAAAATTGTATTGCAAATTAATTGGTTTGCAACTGAAAAAGGTGTTCAAGTGATTTGCAAGATCTTAACAATGTTGGTTACATTCTGCCCCCTGGTGGTCCTCTCCATCTTGTTGTCCGGGCAGTGCCTCACTTATTGAAGGCGTGCTTTCTAGGAAAAAAAAGAATACACACACACACACACACACACACACACAGAGAGAGAGAGAGAGAGAGAGAGAGAAATAGTGAAGATAGTGGATGGGAAGATTTTATAGTGAAGAAAAGGCAAATGACAATTTTTCTTGGAGATTAACCACAGCCAGGGTGCACGTGTGATATGCAGAATCATCAGACCACGTGTGATGTCTTAGAGATAAAAATGAGCTCTAAAAATATGCAAGCTGATCTGACAGGTGGTGAAATTAAGCCGTCTTCAATTTTCTATTCCTTAATCTCATCAGGTATTTATCAAAGTTAGTGTCTGAGAAAAATCCCAGCTTTTTTTTTTTTCGTGTATTAAATAGGGGAAAATTCAAATCAAAGAACAAAATAATATCACCATAGCATTATTAATTATATATTTAAAAACTTGGGAGCATTTGAACAACTGTGGAATGTGGGTGTTTTTAGTGTCACAAGAACATTTTTCTTATCTAATAAATATTAGCTATGTTGTTTCTCCCTTAAAGCAGTGCCAGTAATGCTGATTTTGGTCTCATAAAATAGAAATATTACTTTCACTTCACTCCAGTAAACTTTTTACTTTTATCGTAACAAGTTTGTTACTAGACTTAAAACTAATGTCAAATTTTGGGGGTAGATATAGGGATTTCCAGCCTAGACTGTACAGAAATTATTTTTGAGCACTGAAATTGAATGTTTCCATATTTGGTGTTCATTGTATCTATGTGAACATATCATAGCAATGACTGATTATTTTGATACATCCTGGATTTGTGAATAGCGTTTGAAAATCTGTTTTTCCCATTATAGAATATAAAAATATGAGTCAAGTTTAAAAACAAATAGGCATTAAGAATCTCAGGAGTGAATATACTAGCATCATACCTAATTTAGAATGAAAATGTAAGAAACATTGTGCTTTAAGGATCTCAAACTCTGTGTGTTTTAACATCACCCAGTTTTTCTCTGTCCTCAGTAACTTGTATAAGGTGTTGATTCACGTGGAATGAACACTACATCATTTTTAAAAAGATAAAGTGAAATTGAGTTGACTGTGCTGGACCTGTTTTTTGACCGTTGAGCAGTAGCAGCCTGTAAGCCATCTTCTTTTTGTGAAATCTAAAGCGTGTGAAATTGTCTTGCAGGTTATAACGAGGTCGTAAAGATTCCCTCGGGAGCAACCAACATTGAAATCCTTCAGCACAGCTATTCTGGAAGAGCAGAGGATGACAACTACCTGGGTAACTCGTGGGTTGTGTGCAGCTGCAGCCGGTCTGTGGCTGATGTAGGTCCCGGCAGGCAGCAGCAGTCCCCGTGTGGGCACAGTCTCAGTTCCTACGGGGCGGGGTTGTCTCAGCCTGGACACGCGTGCTCCCGAGGTCTACAGAGTGTAGCCTCAAGAAAAACTGAATGAAATTCCAAAAATTCAGCTTGTTTTCAGAGTTTTCCCCTAAGTCTATTTTGGACAACCAAAGTTAAAATTGCATGTGTATTTAGCATAAAATTATGTTTTTTTTTTTTTTTTAATTTACTTATTTCTCTGAAAGGTACAGTTGCATACAGAGGGAGAGACAGAAAGGGTTTTCCATCCACTGGTTCACTCCCCAAATGGCCACAGTGGCTGGAGCTGGGCCGTTCTGAAGCCAGGAGTTTCTTCCAGGTCTCCCACGCGGATGCAGGGGCCCAAGGACTTGGGCCATCTTCTACTGCTTTCCCAGGCCACAACAGAGCTGGATCGGAAGAGGAGTGGCCGGGACTCGAACTTATGCCCGTGTGGAATGCCAGCGCTGCACTCAGAGGCTTAGCCCACTATGCCACAACGCTGGCTGCCCCTCTTCTTTTTATAAAATATTAGTTAAGAACTCTGAGTTACATGTTTGAAAGAATTTGCTCAAGTATTTTCAGCATGTGGCAAAATCATTTAAATATAGATTTTTAGAAGACCACCTGATGCGTTTCTTGAGTGTAGACTTCATTTACGTTATTTAATAGTTTATGTTATTTATGTGATTTATGTTATTTAGTAGTTTTAGAGGTTGTCGGGTTTAAAGTTTTCACTTGGGTACAAGCTTGAACAGAAAGTTTTGCAGACTGATCTGAGTTTCTGAGCAAGTTTGTTGACTGTCCTGTAATTCACCAGGCTAGAGTAGGGGGCGCTGTAGAGCTGATCTGGACAAAATTCATTCTTGTAATTTTTTTATTCTATTTATTTATTTATTTATTTATTTTGACATGCAGAGTTAGAGAGAGAAAGGTCTTCCTTCCGTTGGTTCACCCTCCAAGTGGCCACTATGGCCGGCGCGCACCGATCTGAAGCCAGGAGTCAGATGCTTTTCCTGGTCTCCCATGGGGTGCAGGGCCCAAGGACCTGGGCCATCCTCCACTGCCCTCTCAGGCCATAGCAGAGAGCTGGCCTGGAAGAGGAGTAACCAGGACAGAATCCGGTGCCCCAACCGGGACTAGAACCCGGTGTGCCAGTGCTGCAGGCGGAGGATTAGCCTAGTGAGCCGTGGTGCCGGCCCATTCTTTTAATTTGTAATCTGAATCCAGAGGAAGCCCTTGTCTCAGGAATTAGATTTGGCACCACATAATGGCCCAGGCTTTCTTTAAGGGAAGATGATAGCCTTATTAATGTCTACATAAAAATGGTTAACTTTATGCTATGTCGGTTTCATCTCAATAAATAGTGTAAGCAAATTTCTAGAAGAAAATCTAATGTAAATATTATGATTTGTTATCCTTTATGTTAAAATTATTTTTCTCTCATGAAAAATATTTTCTAGGTGCATACACACAAATATGTCCTACTACGTTGTAGATTAGTAATTTACTGGGTTCCAGATAGACAGCTCGTCCTCCCTGCTACAGATCCACAGGGGATTATCCCAAGAGGCTCCGAGAAGCCCCAGGCCTCAGATAAAAAAACTGCGTGTATGCCGTGTTGATTTCCCCAAACATACATAGCCTGTGATAGTTTAACTTGTAAAGTATACACAATAAGAGACTAACAATAGTAGAGTAATTTTAACAATTACTGTGATAAAAGTAAGTTGAGAGTTGCCTGAACACAGCATCGTAATTCCTTAGTAGTCGGTTGGGTAATCCAGCCTACTACTAAATGACTCACAGGCAGGTGGTGTAGACATTGTAGAAACACTGGACACAGGGTAATTTGTAACTTGGGCAGGGCAGTGTTGGAAGGAGCAAGGTGATGTCATGCCACTCTGCGTGGTGTATAACTTAGAATTTAGGAATTGCTTATTTCTGGAATTTACCGCTGCAGTTGGCTGCAAGTAACTGAAACCACGGGGACAATGACGCCTAAGGCGGGGCTGCTGTGTGCACCTTCCTAGAAACGGACCAGTTGCTACCCGCGTTTAGGATTGCAGTGGGCAGGTGGCGCAGCAGTTAAGTCGCTTCATGGGACGCCACATCCTGGCCTGGAGTGAATGATTTCAATCTTAGCTACTCCGCTTCCTGTCTGACTTCCTGTTAATGTGTACCCTAGGGGGCAACAGATAGCGGATCAAATCCCTGGTCCCTTCTGTCTACGTGGGAGATACCTTGGTGTTGGTCTGGCCCAGACTAGGCCCTTGTAGGCGTTTGGGGTGTGAACCAGTGGATGGAAAAATCTCTCGCTGTCTGTCTGCTTTTCAAATAAAATGAAAATCAACAAAAACCAAAATTTAAAAATGGTGTTTACAAAAAATTAGAAATCTTTACCAATAAAGTAGCAGTATATTTTGTAAGAAAATATAAATGGAAATAGGAAAGACAGGCCCGTTGGCTTTGTTAGGGTGCAGATTCTTTCTAGTTCAGTGGTTGAGTTGAGGGCTTCTGCACTTAAGTTCGATATCATTGCCTCGTGTCTTCACAGTTCCCTGTTTATAGGTTAGATACCACACTGTAGTCAATAAAGTTCATTTCCGTAATGTTAATTTACATTTCCATTCTTCAGTCTCACAAAAGGGTTTGAATTCACACAGTTAAGGAAGCATGTTCTTTGTCGTTGACTGATCTGTTTCATGTGATTCTGTTCTGCAGCATTATCTGACAGTCAAGGGAATTTCCTCTTGAATGGAAATTACGTTGTAACTATGGCAAAGACAGAAATCAACGTACAAGGAGCTGTTTTTGAATACAGTGGATCCAACAGCTCCGTTGAAAGACTTAACGGCACTGATCGGCTGGAACAAGAGCTTGTTTTGCAGGTAAGTTCTCAGCAGTCGTTAAACGGACTTAGTTTTAATCGTATTAGTAAACCTTATTGGTTACATGTGCAGCATTTATTAAATGTTATTTTGAGATCTTAAGAATGTATCTTTGGGATTAAATTGTGTGTTCCTCTGCATTTTTATTGAGGTGTTGTGTGTGGGTAATCTATACAACCCCGATGTCCATTATTCCTTCAATATTCCTCTGGAGGAAAAGAGCGATTTGTTCATGTGGGACCCGTCTGGCCCGTGGCAGGACTGCTCCAAGATGTGCCAAGGTACCTGGTGCTGCACAACAGGGACAGATGTTGTGGGTGCGCGTGTCCTTGGGGCTCCCTCTGAGTCTGGGTGCTCCGGAGCCCCCCCACTGCCCCCCCCACAAGCTCACACGCAGACATTCCACATGGGCAACAGAGCTCTCCGGTTCTCTTCCCGTGCTTCCTCTCCCTCCTTCCTCCTGACTCGTACCCTGACAAAGCCCCGTGCAGCATCACACTTCTCAGCGTTTTCCGTCTCTGCCCCTTTCTTGTTCTCCTCCTTCTTCGCAGTCACAGGAAGTCTCTCTGACTTGTCTCCTGCTGTCCAGTGAGTGATCTTCCCTCTTCCCCTCCTCTGCCCATGCCTCTCAGCCCCCGCCCCCCTGACAGTGTATAGACAGAACATTCCGCGTTCTCCCACCGTCCTTCCTTGATGGCAAAGCGTAACCCAGTGCAGTGGTGAACCGGGAGTTGACAGTGGGCCAGGGAGTGAGAAGACTGGGGCGCCGTGCAGTGTGTAATGTGGATCCTTCATTGAGCAAACCATCTTCGTTGTGAGAGGGACAGCTTTGTCTCACGTTACCTGGAGTCAGAAGCGTACAGGGATGTGCTAATTGAAGTGGTGCACGCAGTGGTAATCGATACTGGTGGACATGATCACAGGAAAGGGGAAGGAAGCCTAGTGGTAGAGGTAGAGAGAGGGAGAAGTATCCTCATTTACAATGAGAAGTAGTTTCCAGGGAGGGTAGAGGGCAGGTTTGGGAGTGAGGAGGCCGTGGGTCAGAGGAGAGTGCGGAGACAACTGGTGGGGGCAGTGGTGGTCAGAGGTGACCAGTCTCGTGTGAGAGATGGCCTGACACACTGACCCCAGGGTCCACGAGACTGTGGTCCCACTCAGGCCTTGGTCCTGGGCACTGGGACAGTGCTGCCCGCAGTGACTGTGGGGGCAGGTGTTCCTTCTGTCTGGGCAGCATCTCACTGGAGCAGTACAATGGTACATGATGCAAGGTTGGCTGTGATCAAACACAGGACACAGTGAGCTCAGGTGACCCGGGAGAAGGGAGGATTCAGTCTGACAGGACGGCCCTGTGTGTCCTCTACGGAGCAAACTGGAGCTGGGGGAGCTGGGCCCAGTGCTGCGGAGCTGGGCGGGGAAGCTGGTGTATGGCTGTGTTTGGGAATTAGGCCAAAATCCAGGCAAAGCTTTCTGAAGTGTGGTCTGCTATCCGCTGGGTCACGCCCAAATTGGCCGCAACAGCCGGAGCTGCGCCGATCCGGAGCCAGGAGCCGTCCTATACTACCTTCCCAGGCCACAGCAGAGAGCTGGATCAGAAGTAGAGCAGCTGGGACTTGAACCAGGGTCCCTGTGGGATGCCAGCACTGCAGGCAGCGGCTTTACCCACTAAGCCACAGCGCCAGCCCAGTTTGCCTTCACGTTTTCTTCATCGTTTGCCCGTGGTCCTTTCTGTCGAGCTCCTTGGTTTCACGTTGCTGTTTGAGCTTGCTGTCTGCTGGTCTCTGTGAGTGGCCACCACTGTTCTGGGAATCCTTGCGGACTTCTTCCCTTGGGTGGAGCATATCCCTAGTGCTTTACTAAGGCAGTTTTCTTACACATTTCACATCCGAAAGTGCTGAAAGATCCTGTTTTCTGATCACGCTTCAACAGTTCAGCTACTGTAAATTCTAAAATATTATTTTACAGAAGCTTGACTTTGAATTTTGGCTTTTTTTTTTTTCATTTCCTGGGCTTATATAAGGTGGTATTTTCTGTTGTAGAAGTATTGTGGACCCTCTCTTTAATTCTAATAAAATAAAATACCAGGACAGTGTACCTTGATATGAGTGGTTCTTTTTTATATCAGAGTATTTCAACAAATAAAATGTAAGAAAAATAAAATGTAAGTTTATTTTGGTGCAAAAGATTTTAAAAATCTATTCACAGTTTTTTATAAGATGCATTCTTCATGAATTTTTTGGAGACCTGTCTCATATGCATACATTTCAAATAATTTTGTGCCAAATAAACTTGCCTCTTAATTCAGTTTTTCCATAAGCATTTTGAAGTTCTCTCATATTTTCCTAGGTAATTATCATTTTAGTTGAAAACAAAGATTATTTATCTTGAGAAATTTTATTACATATTTTTGATAATTTCTTCACCTTTTCTCTCTCCTGCTTTAGACTTTTATTTGGATGTTCAGCTTTCTGAACTGATGGTTTGTTTTCTGAATTCTTCTTTCAGTTTCCTTGTTTTATTAATTTCTTCCCATAGCTGCCCATGTTGGTTTGTGGATGCATTGTACTCATTATGTGCCCTGAGAGCATTAATCGTGATCACCGATTTCCTTCTGTTCCCTGACTTTGTCCTCCTAGCTCTGTTTTGTGTTTCTTGGACCTGCTCTGTGTCAGAGACTTGGCTGAAGTCTGCTCACCCCTTGCAGTGTGTGCAGAACTCAGGTGCAGATCAGGAGTCCTGGGTGGGTCAGACGAGTCAGCCAGGGGCTGCATTCCAGAGTCACGTGGTTACTTCTTACGTCACTGGGGAGAAGCACCAGTGCACACTGCCAGTGAATATTTCTTCTTGGGTTGAAGAGTCCAAGACAGACATTTCCCATCATCCGATGGTCACTGGGGGGCTGGAGAACAGCAGACGTCACCTGGAGCCACAGGGAGATGGAGAACCCAGTCGGCTGGAAGCCAGCTTCAGAATGGCGCCTGCAGCCAGTTTCAGCACAGTGCACCCCCCGCTTCCCGCGGGCGTCTTCTGCCTTCAAGGTCGCTTCTCTGGAACGCTGTCTGATTCATTGGGCGTAAGCTGTCTGCCAGTCACCAGCCACGTGTGGCTGCCCTGCTGAGACGTGCGTTTAAGACTGAAGTGCACAGGCATATGAGAGGGAATGTAAATGTGTCCCTAGCAGTGTTTATATTGAGATGTTGAAAGTGCTGCATTTTGCGTTAGATGTGGTTCACGTTCTGTTTTTGTTGGCCAGTGTGGCTGTGATAATCTTAACTGTTCTTCATAAACACTTCCCCATTCACGCTCCGTTTTCTTTGCCTTCCCCTCACACTGCCAGCTCTTCAGAGGAACCTGGTGTGTTTGGGTCCTTGCCTTTCTTGGATTCTGTGGCACAGAGAGTTTGTTCCTTACTCACTTTTCCCCTCCGTGGGCTTGGGTTTCACGAACTTCCTTGGCTCTGTTAAATACTTACTTCCGTCCACTTTTTACATCCAGATTTTTTTCTTCTTGCCTACTGTGTTTCTTTTACTACTGCTATCCTTTTAAGTTTATGCCTTTTCAAAATTCTTTATGGTTTCTTCAAAGGGTATTTAGGAGGGAACAGAGGGAAACGTTACGTGTTCACGTGTAGTTAACAGGAGGGACGGAGAAAGCTGATGTCGCTGTGTGAAGCTCGGCTTTGTCCCCGCTGACTACTGTGCACGCTGCCCCTGGTCTGTGTTCTCTGTGGTCGTGCTGCCCCCCAGTCACTGCCTAGTCTCAGTGCTGAGAACAGAAGGCCACTTCCTGCTCTTAGCGTATTCTGCTTGCTAGTTGGCTCTGACTCTATTTCAACCTTGAATCTACGTCCATGCCAGTGTCTTTGTTTTTTTAAAAAAATCGGTTTTACTGTTTACAGCAGTTTTAAGTTTACTGAAGAATTGCATAGAAAGTAAAAAAAGAAAATCACTTGCCCCCCCTCCCCCCACCCCCCATCTCCTGTCATTAAAGCCTTGAACTAGTGTGATACAGGTGTGTCACTAATGAGCAGTTTCAGCGCACTGCTGTCAGTCAGGTGTTCAGATTCGTGCTGTGAGTGTGGACAGATGTCTAGTGATTTGAAGCCACCGTTCCACTATCATACAGAGGAGTTTCACTGCCCTGCCACAGTGCTCCCCAGTCGTCCCGCCCTCCCTCCCCGGCAGCCCCTGTCAGCTGCTGGTCTTTGTCATCGTCCTTGCCTTGTCCTCTCACGATTCCAGGCTGGGGCAGCCCTCGAGGGTCAGCGGCAGAGCCGGCGTCTTCACTGCTCCTTGTAGTTGGCTGGCATGACGCCGCTGCCAGTGGAGAGGGAGGTGTTCTTCTCATGCAGGAAGTTGCTGGCGATGCTGGGCCTGGGGGGGGGGGGACACCATGGGGACAATGTCGGGTGCTCCTGGTGCACCAGCACCTTCCCCAGCCACACGGTTTTCCACTCGCCACCCTGCAGCTATCCGGAGTTTCTGTCTATTCCGTGCCCATCCCACCTCCTGTTCTCACTTAGCAAGCTGCGCGTCATTCAGGGTTCAGCCTTCTTGCCACAAACATCATTGCTGATGAGATCGAGATACTAGAACGTCCTGTGTGCTGTGCTGGAGATTTTTGCTTGCTGAGCTTAATCTTGCAGACTGTTAACAGCATTCAACAATGGGATTTTCCTCTCTCTTTTATTTCTCCTGTGACGTTGGTCAAGGTGTCCAAAGGAGAAAGCTTGCCTGCATACGTCAGAGTGATCACACGGCTGTGTCAGACCGAAGTTGTGAGCACCTGCCGCCTCCACTGCTGCTGATGGAGAGGTGCAACACAGACTGTGAGCTCAGGTAAGCGGGAGGTGGTGTGCACCGCGCCACGTGCAAACCCGTACCGGAGGTGCCGGGTGTGTGACAGCGTCCACCCTGGCCAATGTGTCACTTCGGGGTCATTCATTTGCTGAAACCCCGTGATGAGTTTGAGTTTTTATTCTTACCATTTGCTGAATATCAGTATCTAGGTGTCAATATTTTTTGTAGAGAATGGAAGTGATTTTATCTGTAAAAGCCACTCAGGTAAACTCTCATCTGAAAAGCTATGGTTTAAATATCCGAAACCATACATTTCTCCACGGGACTTAGGAACACATCAGCTTCTACTCACATCTGAGGTAGGAGAACACATAGACGGAGTTCCGTGGTACTGAATTAGTGCTTTGGCCATGAAACATTAAGAAACATTGTCATAGATAATTGCAGGAAAGTCTGCACAGCTAACCTAAATACCTCGTCATCTTTTGTTCATTTTTGCATCATAGCAGGAGCCGTTGGGCTCTGAAACATTGCTGGACTCTTTCCCTCGGCAGTGATGGGCGTTGCTGTGCGTTTGTGGTGATGTTGAAGTCCTGCAGCACAGCCCAAGGGTGCAGGTGCTGTAGGAGTCGCGTGTGTTGCATTGCCGTAGAATGCTGCATGCTGAAGTCCTTGAGATGCTGTTGGGGTTGCAAGTCAACTCCTTGATTTCTGTGATGTGTCTTACTGACGTGCTCCGATTATCTGATAGAGTGCCGGACGACATTTGTGATAATTTGGCCGTAACTGGCGTTTTTACTTGTGGAACACAGATTTTCCCTGGAAACACGTCTGGATAGAGATCAGTGAGATTAGTGATGTCACAGATCACGTTTTTCGGAAACTGGTTTACCAGCTTTTAGGTGCTTTATCTGTGTTAATGTTGTCAGAGTCACAGAAGTTTCCTGTTCATGAATCAAAATACTGGAAAAGGATTGCGTGGGCGGGGACCCCCTGACTGGGGACCCACGTTCTCAGCTGTCGCCTTCTCGGGTAATCTCTGTCTGCATCCCCCTCTCGTGAGGTTTTCCCGGAAGTGTGTAGTTTCTGGGACACAACTCCTGTGCTGCCACCTGTGCCAGACTGGGCTTAGCTGGCGTAGTGCTGGCTCCCTGTCCCCAGCTGTAACCAGACAAGCTCCACTTTATCTACTCACGTTCTGAGAGCAGCGCAGATTTGATTGTGAAAAAAGTAAGGCTTCTGACAAAATCAAGAGCTTGTTTGACTGAAATATGATTACCTGTCGGCCTCATTTTCTCATCTGCAGAATTGAAGTGTGGGCTGTGGGATCTCTGTGGACTGTTCACTTCTGACTCACTGGCCCGTCACATGTCTTCAGGTGGCTTGTTCGTCACCTCTTAGGAGTCTTTAAGTGGAATCCTATGCCTGAGTTTCTCTGAATCTACATTGTAAGTGTGCTCACGAACACACCTCCCAAGGGTGGTGCCGTGTTTTCTTCCTAGGTGGCACATCGTTGGCAAGAGTGAATGCTCGTCCCACTGTGGTCCAGGGCACAGGTCCCTGGATGTCCGCTGCATGAAGTATTCCGTTCATAAAGGACAGACTGTCCCAGTAGATGACCGCTACTGCAGCGACCAGCCTAAACCGCCCGTCCGAGAACCATGCCACGGGGACTGTGCCTCCGCGAGATGGCATTATTCAGAATGGTCTCAGGTATCGTAGAAATGGCTGCATTGGCAGAGCTGCCCCTCTTTTTCTAATTCTTTAAATGACTCTAAAGTCTGATTCTGTGGTAGATTTCCAGAAGTCACCACTTTTTCTTTAAATCAGTGTTCCAGGAGTTGCGGTCCGGGGGAAAGGTCTCGAGAATCCGTCTGCGTCAATAACTTCGGCCACCGTCTCGCTGACCAGGAATGTCAGGAGCTTCCCCGCGTCACCACCGAGAGCTGCAATGCGGTTCCCTGTTCCCGCTGGGCCACTAGTGAGTGGAGTGAGGTAACATGACGCACACGGGGCTAGAACTTTCTCGTAACCTCATGCTTGGAAAGCTTGGCGGTGGAAGACTTCACAGAATTCAAAAGCTTTTGAATTTGTAAATAACTTCATTATCAAGGCCATAGAAGACTTGCGCTTGCATTTGTACAGTGCACCCAGCAGCCTGGGATGTGCACTGATTCCAGTCTGGCCTTTGCCTCTGGGAGAACTGGTTGCAGACTGGGACCTGATGGGCAGAACCTGGGCATGGCTGGTTTACCCGCGAATCTCCAGGGGGTAGGAGAAGGTGCTGTTCAGGATGGCCCTCCAGCTGCTTCTTCACAGGCGGCTTCATGGCTGCACATTCTGCGCTGTGCCGTGTTGTTGGCCGGCACCGCAGATAAGCAGTCTCTGGGTTCCTTCACGCGTGAGCTTGCTGGCACGTCCATCACGGGCTCCTGTGGTAGTCACTGCCTCCTTAGTGGAAGCAGTGGCGTTGGAGCCGATGGATGGCACAAATCCTGCTGAAGTGTTAATCCTTACTTGGAAACTGTTGATCTCACTGCTAATGTTGCTGTACTGAAGGTGCAGCGTTGTCTTCGAATTTAGTTTTTTTTTTTTTGGACAGGCAGTTAGAATACGCACATCCTGTGCGTTTATCAGCTTTGATTAAACCATAGATATTTTCATGTTCTGCGTCTGAGTTGGGAGCTTTACTGCCTTTGGAGAAGGCGTTGTTTGTCAGTTCTGCCAAATGAGCACCTGGAATCCCCAGGATGAGCGAGGGTGAGCAGCTTCTGGTCCTGCACAGGTGGCCACCGCTCGTGGGAAACCTGCTCATTCTCACTGACCCGGGCTCCTCCTGCAGCCCCGTGAAGGTTCCTTGTTAGTCTTTGGAGTGACACACACAGAAGGTAGAGCTTGAAAAGTGCTTTATCGTCCTGAATTGTATTGACTCTACCTCCCAAAGATCAAGTCCCATTGATATTTTTGCATGACAGCGTCTTAAGAATACAGTGGTACTTGTTTGTTAACTTTGACTTTGTTCCATTTGGGTCTGGAACACGGCAGGAAGGACGAGTAGTCGCCAGATCCACTGGAAGTGCGGCGATAGCTGTGCACTCATTAGCAAAGTGCAGTTTGTGGAACTGTTGGCAAGCAATGCTTTCTCAGGTCTCTGTGTATTCTCGTGCAGTGCTCAGCCACGTGTGGACGTGGGTCCCAGATGCGTGCCGTGAAGTGCATCAGTGAGCTGCTGGGCACGGTGCTGGAGGAGCGCGAGTGCTCTGGGACCAGCCGCCCCCATGACCGGCAGGTGAGGGCCGCCTCTCCAGGGACTGTTGACAAAACAGCTTCTGAAGCAGCGGGATTTGTTAAAAAGATTGAGTGATTGATTTTGAAAGTCAAGGACACAGAAAGATGAAAACAGAGAAAGAGAGAGAATGTATCTTCCATCTGCTGGCTCACTCCTCAAGTGGCCTCAGTGGCCAGGGCTGGGCCAGGCTGAAACCAGGAGCTTCTTCCAGGTCTCCCACATGGGTGCAGGGGCCCAAGCACTTGGACCATCTTTCCTTCTCTCCCAGGCTTATTAAAAGGGAGCTGGATCGGAAGTGGAGCAGCCGGGACTTGAACTGGCGCCCACAGGGGATGCTGGCATTGCAGGTGGTGGCTTTACCTGTTAGGCCACAACGCTGGCCCTTGCAGGAGGATTATTAATGAGTTACATTTATATTTCTATGTGTATTTTTACACCAGCTTAGATGCCTTAAAAATTTGTGATACAGAATTTGTCACTCTTAATTTTGCCAGCTTAATCAATGAAACTTTTTTTTGACTCATTGTCAGCCACGGGCTCTCTGCTTTAACAGGCACAGGGCTGTTTTTTGAACTGTAGAAGGGTGCCGTCTGTTACTGTGAACATCATGGGCTCGCATGCTGTGCTGTGCTTTGTTGAATAGATTTCCATGTGTTGGAGGAGTTTCTGAGCTGCGGTGTTTTTGTCAAAGACTTTCCAGACTGTAGGGTTCATGCCACCATTCATGCCTGCCATGTGACGGTAGTTGGTGCTTTTGAAACCAGAACCCTTCCAGGGTCAGTTTGAGAATTGGTACCCAGCTGTTCTTAGTCAGACCAGAGGCAGTGAACTGCTGGGTCTAACTGTCAGCAGGACGGGTGGGTTGTGTTTCATGAGCTCCACTTTGCTTCGACAGGACTGTGTGGCTGCACCCTGCCCAGGTATCTCCCACGCTGTGGCCACTTCACTGCCCGCTCTGCCCGTGGGAATGGCAGCACAGTGGCGACATGGTTCCTGGACCCCCGTAAGTGAATTCATGGAAGGGATGAGGGGTTTCTCTCGGAGGCTTTTAAACTTTCACAGAATCCCGGCAGGTGTTTTGATGTACAGATGAAGCATAGGTTTAGGAATAGGTAGTTTAAGGTCCGAATCATGTTTTGCCTTCCAAGAGCTTGCCTGGAGCAAGAAAGGTAAGTTTTCTGGTCCTCTTTTGTAATCCACGACATGAGGCTAATAGTAATACATACGTCACGGGGAGTTAAGGGCAGCAAATGTGCTCTCAGGCACTTAGCAGCTTTTATGTAAGCTACAAGTATTTCATGTTGTTTTTCTGAACTGAAAGCTTTAATGTATTTGGAGTATATGATTTGCTTTAATCTTAAATTTTAATTGTGGGATCATATATACTCCATATTCCTTAATTAAGTCTTTCAGAATTATTTTTAATGATACCTTAATATTCTCTTACAGAAAATAAGCAGATGTTATAAGCAAATGTTATTTCAGATCATTGAATTCATTTAAATTACTGTATTTATGAAATTTATGATGGCAGCCAGGGTGGGCAGCACCCAGCCTGCAGGCTGGCTAAGGCCTTCACTTGATCTCAGCCAAAAGCAGTGGCTAAGGCCTTCAGAGTCATGGAGTCTGGCCTTGCCAAGGGGGCCACAGGTAGGACTCAAAACTCAGTCTGTGGCTGGCTCATTTTTAGGTTCGTAATCCTGTGTGGCCCTTAGCAGAAAAAAAGGTTCCCCACCCCTGATCTAAACTGGTTGGAACACTTGGTACCTTGTCTGCATTTGACTCCGAAATGATGCCAGGTGATGGTGTCGTAATGCATGCCTTCTCAAGAAACGTGATGTGTTGGGAATTGGACAGCCACGTGCGTGGTACTGTGACAGACCCAGTGTGACACCTCCTTGTGCTCTGGTTTTTTAACAAGTGCTCTGTGTCTTGTGGGAGAGGCACCCGGGCCCGCTACGTGAGCTGCCGTGACGCGCACGACCAGGCAGCTGACGAGGCGCGCTGCGCGCACCTGCCCCGGCCTGCTGAAACAGCCGCCTGCGTGAGTCCCTGCGGAGAGTGGCAGGCAGGGAGCTGGTCCCCGGTAAGTGTTCCCCGGGGAAGTGGTGAACAGGTGCCGTTTCTGACTGGACGTGTCGTACACGTAGTGATTGTCACATGTAATGTGTGCATGTAGTGTGCCACGTTGTAAGTGTGGGCACAATTTCTGCGCAGTGTTCAGCTTCCTGTGGCCGTGGAAAAGCAACTCGACAAGTCGTGTGCATGAGCTACCATCAGCCGATTGACGAGAGCTACTGTGACCCCGAGGCACGCCCTGTGACGGAACAAGAGTGCACCCTGGCTGCCTGCTCACCCGCCCAGGGCCATGGCCACAACCACGACCCCCGCTTCCGTTCCTCCGAGCAGCCGAGCCTTGGTCCAGGCAGGAGTTTCTCCCTCAATCACAAGCTCGAAGGTCCTCAGAATCAAGGGGTTCCCCCTGTGGCTGGAGAACTCCAGTGGCGAACAGGACCTTGGGGTTCGGTAAGCTTTCCTAGTTACTCTAGCCTGAGATGTTGCTAGGTCACCACCCTGCACACACAGGTGTGTCAGGGCGTTAAGTGTAGATCTTAAAGGGCTCAGCAGGTTGCAGATCCGAGGACCTTACTGAATTACACACCTGTGTGAAGTGATCACTAAGAGGAGTGTGCTTAGAAACACTCTGAGTGGAGTCTGCTGTAATAAAACCAAAGGAATCCCTCTAAGAAGTAAGGCCACAAAAGTTGATAGAAATTTTAAAAGGAAACAAATGTTACTGTGATAGCAGCAGCACAATAAGGTGGTGGAAAATCACGATGAGCTATAACGGGTACAACGGAAGTTCAAATGCATGAAGTTTCACAGGCAGTTAATGATACAGAATTTAAAAACACCTCTAGAAAAACTCGGTCACTTTACGCTGTTTTGTTCCTTCATCGTGAGGCCTGCAAGCTGTAATCCCTTTTTTCTAACCTTTGGGAAGAGATGCAGGACAGATGCTAACACAAGCTTGAAAGACACGCCTAGGCCGGCGCCGTGGCTGACTAGGCTAATCCTCCGCCTGCGGTGCCGGCACACCGGGTTCTAGTCCCAGTCAGGGCGCCGGATTCTGTCCCGGTTGCCCCTCTTCCAGACCAGCTCTCTGCTGTGGCCAGGGAGTGCAGTGGAGGATGGCCCAAGTGCTTGGGCCCTGCACCCCATGGGAGACCAGGAGAAGTACCTGGCTCCTGCCATCGGATCAGCGCAGTGTGCAGGCTGCGGCGGCCATTGGAGGGTGAACCAACGGCAAAAGGAAGACCTTTCTCTCTGTCTCTCTCTCTCACTGTTCACTCTGCCTGTCAAAAAAAAAAAAAAAAAAAAAGAACCGCCTTTCCACCCGCATGCTGATGAGCTCGCGTGTTCTGCCCGGTGTTCTGTCCCGGGAGGGTGATGGTGTCAGCCTGACTTCGCAGCAGCTGGGGCAGAGTGTGGGGCAGAGTGTGGGGCAGAGTGTGGGGCAGAGTGCGGGGCAGAGTGTGGGGCAGAGTGTGTGCGACTCTGGCTCTCTTCCCCTCCAGTGCTCCAGCACCTGTGCCCGAGGCCTCCAGCACAGGGCTGTGGTCTGCCAGGATGAAGATGGACGCAGCGCCAGTTCCTGTGACGCCGCCGCCAAGCCCCCAGAGTCCAGGCACTGTGATTCCGGCCCTTGTCCACGGTGGATCCACGGGAGCTGGGGAGAAGTAAGTGTCGTTCTCCTGAGCTCGTGGGAGTTCCACGTCTCTGAAGCCCACGGGTACTGGTGGGTGATCCCTTTCAGCGTCAGCACAGAGGGGCTTGCTTTCTTCAGGGACTGTTAGTAGGTGTTTTCTCATGTACTCTGCGCTTTTGAAGGGAGCCTGTGATACTAGAAGTGTGTCAGTGAGCTGTCTTTCTAAAATTGCTATGTTATTGCTTTAATTTCTTTTTTTTTTAGATTTTATTTATTTATTTGACAAGGCAGAGTTAGAGAGAGAGAGAGAGAGAGAGAGAGAGAGAGGTCTTCCTTCCGTTGGTTTACTCCCCAAGTGGTTGCAACGGCCAGAACTACACCGATCCAAAGCCAGGAGCCAGGTGCTTCCTCCTGGTCTCCCATGTGGTGCAGGGGCCCAAGCACTTGGGCCATCCTCCACTGCCTTCTCCAGGCCACAGCAGAGAGCTGGACTGGAAGAGGAACAACTGGGACTAGAACCGGCACCCATATGGGATGCCGGCACCACAGTTGGAGGATTAACCTACTGTGTCATGGCGCCGGCCCCTGCTTTAATTTCTTAGAAAATTAGTTCATTATAAAAGTAGAAGAGGTTGCTGTCTACACATGCTTTATCCTGTTCCTCTTTCATGCACTAGAGGAATCTTTCTCCATGAAGACAGAGTTATCAGCGACTGGCACTGTCCACATGCTCTCATACTCTTCTAGCCTCTGGAAAGAAAAAGCTTTCAAAAGTCATTTAAATACTAATATATTCCATATTTTTCAAGGGCAAGAACAAGAAGTAAAGGTTTTTATTAGTACTAGATGAGTAAAATCAATCCCGTAGCTTAATAGACCAGATGATTTGTAGTGTAATTTCCTTCTGTAGGGGGCATGGACGATACTGTGTGAGGGTGCATCTAATCAATATCAATGTTAAAGATTATCCTTTACTAGTTTCCAAAAGTAAAACAACTATTTTTTTCCTGAGCTCAGGCCTGCTCAATGTGAAAATTCAAATCATGGAAAAATACAAACTATTGTTTCAAATAAAATCAAGAGTCTTCAAAAAGTTCGTGGAAGATGCATATTACAAAAAAGAACTACAAAATACTTTGTGCCAAAATAGGCTTATCTTTTAATATCAGTCTGTGAGCCTTTGGTAGCATCCTGTTATATACTGCACATTTTTTTCATGCTTATATAAATTTGATCTACCATATTAGCTTTCATGGCTACATATTTGATTAGATCTTGTGCATAACATAATTCCTTTTTTTCCACAGTTTATTAATGTGTTACCTTTATCCAAATGGACTGCATCAGTAGTAGAGTAGATATTATGTATGAGATACAGAAATAGGTAACTTTCAAACTTGACGTTAAGACCTTAAAGAGGTGATTCTTATTAGGTATATCAGACTTGTTTATGATACCACTAGCAGGTGAAGCTAGAGAGACCTGTGATATGCTATTCAGATATCTTGCTGTATTAATTCTCAACATCTGCCATTTTTTGATCATAAAATTAAAACTTTATTTTCATGCCCAGGAGAAAGGTTGGGAATTTGAAGAAATCATAACCTTTCAGCATTACTTTTTATCTTTAAACATTGAATAAAGCAATACAAGAAGTCTAAACAGAGTTTATTGAAAATGTGTAATAATAATGAAAAAATGTGCTTGGATTCCAAATTTTTTTTGCACCAAAATAAACTTATCTTTTAATTCTGTTTTTCCTTGAACTCTTTGAAGCATCCTCACTTAATGGTGATTTTGAATTTTCCTGTTCTTCTTTGTAGTGTACACAGACATGTGGAGGAGGAATAAAATCAAGATTTGTAATATGTCAGCTTCCCAATGGCCAAGTATTACAAGAGCACCACTGTGAAAGCTCAGACAAGCCACCTCATGTGGCCCAGTGCCACACGCACGCGTGCCCTGATGGTGTGTCGTGGCATCGGGGGCCGTGGAAGTCGGTACGATAGCATTCTTACTCTTACCTTTGTTTTATTCTGTGTTAGTCTGTGTCCCATTTCTGTTGTTCTCGCTCTGTGAATTGTGGAACGCACACGTTCTATCGTCTGATTTTTTTCTCAGGCAAGCCATTGGCCATCTTGGCTTGTGTTATTAAGTTTGATGGTTTGAAGGAAGAATCCATTCAGTTTCAAATACTGTCTACTGTACATGTGTGTATATGTGATAGTTCTATGCATATTTATTTCGTACATATGAATTGTAAACATCGCACTCTTTGGCTCACCACATCTTTAGCTTGCCCTGTGTTTCACCAGAAACGTTTTGCTATTTACATTTGTACATAGTGTTAACAGCAATGGCAAATTGAGTCTGTGTCTTGTTGGAGATTTTAACTGTTGTGACTTTGTCTGTCACTGTCCAGTTACTGATCCAAAACCAAGTAACACTCTTTAAAGCTTGTTGTTGTAAATCATTGTTAAACTTATTTTGTTTGGAAATGTGAAAATATACTAAAGAAGAGATAGAGAAACTTACTTACATAAAGTAAGTTAATTGTTTACGGTTTGTTATATACATCATGGAAAAATTAGGGTTTATAGTAATTTATATGAATGTTGATCTCTTCCACTGTGTGGAGTTACTGTGGTTTGCGAATATTTGAATTTTCTGTTTTTTTATTTTTTGGAGTCATAGACAAAACTCCTAATCAGTGCTCATGAATGGTTTATTTTCTCTGGTTATCCTTCCAGTATTCAGACTTTGAGGAATAGCTAAATATGTTGAAATTACTGCATTTTAATCACCTTTGATCTTTTACATCATGAATAACTAAGCACATTTCTTCCAGGTTTGAGGCTCTAGAACGTTTATGATTAAGCATGAAAGCTAGGCGCCTCTGTGTTTGGGAGTAATCAGTCCTCAAAGCCTGCACCTGCACCCCTGTGGTGTTGCCTCAGAGCTTCCCAGTGAGACATGGACCCAGGTTCCAGGTCTGGCTCTGGTGCAGGCTGAAATTCGTCTTTACCCTCCAAATGTGACTGATTTTTAAAAGCTAGCGCAGGCAAAGCTGAGTGTCCGCTTCAGTGAGCCATCACTCAGGAGCCAGCAGCAAGCTTGTTTTCCTTAGAGCATCCACGTGCTTGTTTGACAAGTGTGTGCCGGCCTCTGCTGGTCCTGGGTACGGTGCTGGGGGAGGAGTCACACGTGCTTTGTCCCTGCTGGGTTTACTCTCCTGGGAGACTGGTGAGGCACCCACCTTCCAGAGGTGTTTCCCACCAGCCATCTGGAAGCCTGGAAGTCCACTATCTCACCACTGTATCTCTGAACATTTTCTTTCATTTTATTGGTTTGAGTTTGCAAGCCTAGTTCTTAATGAGGCTTCTTTGAATTTTGCCCCAATTAGGAAGCAGAATTCTGATCACTAATGAGAGATTGAATTGTGGTGGCATTTGCTTCTGAGCACAAAGGTTTCATTTTCCCCACTCATCTGTGACTTTAATTCACAAAACATAAACATTGACTTCCGTCTCCTGCTTTGTGCTCGTATAGCGGTTCCTAAAATTCACTGTCTTTGGGTCGGATGCTCTGTTTGAGGGGTGGCAGACCGTGTGTCCGTGGACCAAGCCCACCTGCGCCTGTCTCAGTACAGCAGCTGTGCTCGTGTGTCTGTGCACCGCCTGTGACTGGGTTTGCCTGGTGGCTGCAGAGCGGAGGATGGGACTGACCCACAGAGCCTGCCAGTGTTTACTGTTTGGCCCGTGCTGGAAAGAGCTGATAGACTCCGACCTATTCTGTAAACACAATGCTTTTTAAATGGCAGATAAAAAAGAGCTTCACATCATAGAATCAGCTGTTTCTCTTAGTCACTTTAGATCTCTCTGATTCTTTATTTGACATTTCTAAGTAGTCTAAGGCTTATCACCCTCTCTACATATCCATTATGGAATTCCTAGTGTCAGAGTCTAAGACTGTATCCCTCACATACTTAGTGCAGCCTGTTGTTTTTGTATGTGAATCATGTCTTACGTGACAAACCAGGATGTTCCTTAAAGTCCCCTGCATAGATGACTTCTGCAGCCTCATACAACAAAGGGCCCGGGAACAGTAATAGCCGCAAACGACCAAATAGTAAGCAGATTCCTCACTGTTTACGATGTGTCTATTCCAGAAGGGGTTGATTGAATGACTCAGTCTTTGCACTAATGAAGAACTATAATAATTTTATTTTCGTGATAAATTGAAGACAATGAAGTTTTTAAAAAGTCACAATAAATGTATATATCAGAATTTTTACAAACTTATTTATTTAATGTTTTATAAATGAAAAGTACATTTATATCATTAGAGTGCCTGGATTTATTTTATTATATGAAGAATATTTATTCACTGAATTAGCCTTTTATATTAAAAGGGTTTAGGGGACCTGAAAGTTTACTGTCAAAACCCTTGACATCTTTCAGTGTTGCTGCATTTCATACCTCCTCTGAACATGTCAGGTCAGTATTCCTTCATGGACAGTTCTCATTTTGACAGGTCTTCTTCAAGAAGGGAGAAAATTAAGAGTATGTGTGAACCAATGAATGGCAGGAAACCTCATTTTTCGTTTTAAAGTGAAAAAATACATGAAGGGCAAAGACATTTAAATATCCTTAGCAGGTTATAAGATGACATTGTCGTTTTCTCCATGCTGTGGGAAACCCTGTGCTGTAATAACAAAAGCAATAAATAAATTTTAACCACTGTTAATTTAATGACTGCTTTTCTGTGGTAAGTCAATGTGAAATGATTGTGTTTTAACCCTTGCTTATTATGACATGTGTTGTGGCTTTGTGCTTTGCTTAATTCGTGTATATGTTGTGTTTTTACTCCATGGATCAATACATAAAATGTCTTAAGTCACTGACAGATTTTGCATTGTAATGAATGCCTCTTTTCTATTGTTGGTATCTTTCTTTAATAACAAACTGTTATTTTCTTTTATTAAACACTAATTGTTTAATACTGTATGTTTTCATAATTGTACCTAGTATGTGTATAAACTGCTGTGATTTCTCAAAGAACGTTTCTATTAAAACAAATGTGATTTAAAAGTATGCGATGTATTATTTAGCTATCAATTATTAAATACTGGAAATTTTTGTTTTTTTCTTTACATTTGGTTTTTCTTTACATTATTTAATAAATAATGAATAAAATTAATGACAGGAATGGATTTTTTTAGGTAAGAATAGATGTGCATATGATCAAGGTATTTTTTAAAAGGTCACACTAGAGGATTTAATTTTCTCTTTGAAGTAGTAAGGGGCATTGGGTGTGGCATAATTGAGTCGTTCTGTCAGGTGCTCTTGATGTAAATATGTATTCCCGTACCCAGATTTCATGTAGAAGTGATTTATTTCTCTAAGGTGTTTGCATTTCCTCCTGGAATGGAATCATTCCTGTAAATGTCTTCTGGTGTTGATGGTCCAACAGAAGTAAAGAGAATATGTTGGTTCTTTTTTTCCTTAAGGAGCATTTTTCTCATGAAAAAATAAGTTGCTGCTTAAGAACAGAAACTAGCTTGAATCTTAGTTTTAGTTCTTGGCCCACAGTGTTTCTTTTTCAAAGAAAATGCCTGTAGCATTGTGCATAAAACTATATTCTGGATATGTTAAGTGTATATACAGTGGAATGTGAGGAACACTGAATGTGCGTGGAGTGCCACACTCAGCCAGCCCAGCATGGGGGGGCTTCTGAGCAGAGGGTGCCAGTGACACGTACTCAGGGGACGCCTGCTCCTGCTTCTGCTGTTGGTTGCGTATGGAAGTAGAGGGTTTCAGGTCCCCAGTATCATGTGTGTCTGCCACCCAGAGGTGTCGTGCTAGTCACTGAAAGTGAACCAGGTGCAGTTCAGTGAGAATGTACCAACTCGGCAGGTGGTCAGAATGCCGGGTGAGATTCCTGTTCCCATTCAGTAGTAACTAGGGTATGTGTAACCCTGAACGTTAGATATTGGACATCTGGGGCTAAACAGGTTAGAATAACTCAAGAATTGATACAGACGATTGAACTGCACAAGAGTCCTGCCAGTAGATCCTTCCAGAATGCCAAAACGCGTGTCACACATTTCATCGTCCCCTGGCAAGTGGTGAGCAGCGTCCCAAGTCCTTACCCTAGAAGAATAGATTCTGCTCCCGTTACGGAATCGTCCTCTCTCCACCTGTGGGTTCTGTGCCTCACCACAGGGGAGAACACGGGCAGATTCATAGATGTCACTCAGCGGCAATGCCCTGGAGACAGTGTGGGAGACACAATGGACTGGGCAGGTTTGGAGTGAATGGTCTAAGGAAACGTAAGTAGGTTCTCTAGGCAGTGATGAGGTTGTAAAAGAAAAAAAAAAAAGATTCTGTGTGTCATGATGTTGAGTGAAGTTGGAATGTAAAGTAACTACAACTGTGTCCCAGGGTGGTAAGTCTTATTTTCTCTTGGTATTTCCATGTTAGAGAAGGTGAGAACGCCCACCCTGCTGCAGGAGTTCTGGTTTCCCAGGCCTGATGCTTTGCAATGTTTGACTCTGGAAATGGGTTCAATGTCCTTAGAAGAAAGTGTCCTCATTTTTCTTCACTGTCTCTGTGCTGTTTGATGAGCCTGCTCATAAGCATTATTAACATTAGTTCATTTAGCTGTCCCACATTTCTGTTAAGAGTTAATGTGTCAGCTTTCAGCAGTTTGGGGGAAAAATCATATTTCAGTGTCTGATCATAATGGTCAGATGTTAATATTTTATGTCTCGCTTGGCATTTTTCTAGATAATTGATTTCTTATCACTTGATCATCTGTAAGGCTACTTTAAAACACTGTGTAAAAGGATTCAGGGTAGACGTTTGGTGCAGCAGACCCTGCTTGGGGCGCCCACTCCCGTATTGAAGGGTCTGGGTCTCCACCCTGGCTCTGGCTCCCAACTCCACCTTCACACTCGTAAGAACCTTGGGAGGCAGCGAAGTTGGGCCCCTGCCACGCA